CTCTCTCTCTCTCTGTCTCTCTCTCTGTCTCTCTCTCCCTCTCTCTCTCCCTCTCTCCCTCTCCATCTCTGTCTCTCTGTCTCTCTGCCTCTCTGTCTCTCTCTCTCCTTTCCCAGCCAGCATCACCCGCTCTGTGGAGCACGGGGTCCAGCTGGCGGCTTTGTTCTCTGATGTTCCCAGCGGCTCAGGAAGGGGAATGGCTGATACATTTCCAGGTTTTCAGAATTTCCAGACTTTCTTGGAATTGGGGGTCTATAAATGCAGATGAAGGATCAGCAATGTAACATGGACAATCACAGAAAAGCCCATCTTCATCCCCAGATCGTGAACCCGGCAACTACAGAATCTCCTAATTACTCAGCTCTCCTAGGGCCAGCTGCTGCCGAGACCTTTGCCTGCCTTACCCCCAGGGATCCCACCTTCCGCCCGAGCCATCGAGGCTGAGAACGGTTGGTCATCTCTCTAGGTCCTGAGCTGGGAAGGATGGAGACCGGAGGTGGGTGGACAGAGCAAGGAGAGCTCGGGCTGCAGAAAGCTGGTAGCTCTGAGAACTCAGTCCCACAAGCCCTGAAGACAAGGGGGCAGGGAGGTTTCACCTAGAGAACAGGAGACTGGATGGAGGTGGCTGGCCGACATCCTTGCAGGGAAAACAGGGACGGGTTTCTCTTCACACTGAGCACCTTTAGAATAAGTGGGCTCAGTGGGCGCTTGGGGAATGACTGGAGTTGCCGTGACAGTGGGCTGTCCCGCTCTAGAAGCCACGTGAGGGAGGTCTGCACTCTCCCCTCTGTAAGTGTAGACCCAGAGAGGCGCCAGCTGCCAGCCAGGGCCTGGCAGAGATGCTCGGCGTCCTGGTCCCACCTGCTGTCTAAGCAGCCGGACACAGGATTCTGGAGGAGAAGGACTTTTGCAAGTCTGGCTCCTTGTTGCCCTGGCTCAGGGTGGCCGGCACTGCAAGCGACCAGAGAGCTCACCGCTCCTGGGTGGTGGGCGCTGGAGAGGGGCCGGGGTACACACAGAGGTGCAGTCGTGCAGAAGAGGAGCTATTTCACGGACTCAGGCTGCTGTTTCCAGGCGTGTGGCTTTGTCCCATTACACAGTCACCAGGAAACACAGCACATCCTTCCCGAAGTAAAGACGCAGCCAGGCAGCCCTGCATCCAAAGCTCAGCTCCACCGCCTGCCAGCCACGTGGCCCTGGGCAAGTTAGGGAACCGTCTTGCTTTCCTTATCTGTAAAATGGGCACAGCCACCCTTGCCTTCCTTCAGGGTTGCTGCAAACACAGGGCTGGTCTCCTAGTCAGTGCCTGATCAACAGCAGAGGCCGTATGATGTGGTGCTTAATGGATTCGGAAACCCCCTTTTCATCTTCTTCACGGGAGTAGATAGATACCATTGCACCCATTTTACAGATGGGGAAACAGGCAGATAACTTGCCTCAGAGCTAATCGCAAGCCTGGTGCTCATTCCACCGCATCACAAGCCTTTCTCCCTTTGCTTCTTTTTTCGGTTAAATCCAACCACCACCTACAAGCCCCCTTTCCTTTCAGGCCCTCCCTTCTCACTCAGCATGGGTCGCAGCATCCCTTTCCCTGCAGCCCGGCTCCTGTGAGACAGGTGGTCCATTGCCTCATCCAGCCGCCTTTAACTGAGCAAGAGAGGGCCTTACCGCTTTGCTCGGGTCCCAGCTCTTACTAATGCCATTAAAATGCATTCCGCCGCTCCAAGGTGTAAATGTGTTCCAGAGGCTGGTGATTGTCTATGCAAAGATGCATTTATAGTAAGAACAGTCTGGTAAGTGGCTTAAAGGCTTACAGCAGAGTGGAAGACTAGCTTTCATCATTCGAGGTGTTTTGCAGGGCAAATGGTGACAATTGCTCCGTCTCCGCGAACACGACGCTGGCATCAAAACCAAGGAAGCGAAAGTCCAATGATGAGGCCCCCGAAGGAAGGGAGGGGAGCTTAGCGTTCTGCTGGTAGGGGAGCTCGATGCTGAATCCCACGAGGAGGGGCAGCCTGCTTCGGTTACCACATCAGGATCCCAAACTCCCAGGCCCCAGGTCCAAGACCCTCACCGGTGGGGCAGCCCCGCGGCTTGCCCATGGCAGCAGAAAGGTGGAGGTCAGGAGGTGGATCGTCTCGACCTTCACCCGCCTGCCTGTTCCATCTGGAATTCTCTGCCTACACAGCCAGGGCCTGGCGGCCATCAGAGGTCCCCAAATGAAATCCTCCTAATCAAGGGCTTTGCTGATGTCTTAGCATTTCTAGGGTGACCTAATTCCTTGTGTCAGTTTTCCACAACTTTTCTATTTTTTTCCTCTCTTTTCTATAAGAGCAAATCCCTGGACTGAGACCAAGTGGTTCACGGTGCCAAGAAACCAGAGAGGCTGCAGAGTCTCTGAGCACGATGCAGAAAGGCTCCCGGTTGCCAGCACCACCCTGCAGAGGGGCTGCCCGGGAGGCCCCAGCTGCACCCCCGGGCCCGGAAGGGCTCACAGCCCAGGTGCTTACCAAGCACCGCCCAGGGCACGCGTCTAGAGCCTACTGACTCGGGAGTGAAAGCCCTGACCAGCCGCCCAGGCGATTCCAGGTGCTTCCTGCCTATCAGTCATTTGATAGGCACCGTCACCATCGTCATCATCCCCCACCCCGCTGTGATGATGGGGGTGAACAGGACAGGACCTTAATCAACCTTCCTGATTCCCCCCGGGGGTGGGAGGCGAGGAGCTGGTGGGAGTGTTTGGTTCAAGCCCCGGCACTCCGGTTCACACTCTCTCCTTTTAACCATTTTGCTCTCTCTTCTCCTGCCTCTTTCCAGGCCACCCTCACTCTTCTCTTGCCATTTCTGTGAGAGGAGGGGTACACAGTAGACTTTGCAGGTGAGAAGCATGAAGCAGATGACAGGACTCGCTTGGATTACCCTACTCAGAGCGGTCACCGGGTTGGGAATCCAACATTTCCAGACTAACTTTCAAGAAGCCTCATTAGAATGATCCAATAGAGGAAGAAATCCCCATATCTGCCTCTTCAGCGTTAATGTGCACCCAGATTCCCCGGAGGTGGAGTGTAAAGGCAGCCTCCGATTGGTCAGGTCTGGGTGGAGCCCAGAGGCTGCATTTCTACCAGGCGCCCAGGTGATGAGAAGTTTCTGGTCTGAGGCCTGCCTCTGAGCACCAAGGCCCCAGAGCACAGATGTGCAGACCGGATTCCTGGGGTCTCCTGAGGCTGCCTCAGAAGCTGGCCTGGGGCTTGTGGGAAGGGGTTTTGAGTATGATTCTGCTCGAAAGGGGGGTTTTTCATGCTTTGAAAACAGGTTTGAAAACCGCAGCTCTAAATATAATATCCCATACATTTGGAGAGACTTAACTAGAATATGAAAATAGAAATTTCTCTCCCAAAGATCTTTTTTTTAATACACTTTGCTGACTCAGAGGAATCGGCAGCCATATTTGGACAACTGGCCTCACCATGACCTCCCTGTTACCTAATGGAAAATGGGAAATGTTGAAGGTATTCTACTTAGAAGTAATTATATTTACATAGCCTCCGTGGCATGCATCTCTCTCTCACATAGATGCTTACAGGGATACTTGCTTCTGGAATTCATCAGCTCCAGCTGTTTACTTCCATTCGAGGCCAGAACTTCATTTTTTTCCCCCTGTGGTTAAGTTTCTTGTGGGAGAGAGGGGGAGGGAAGGCTTCTAAGAAGCAATTATCAGAAATTGTTACCGTCCCTGAAAAATCAATCTGTCCCGAATTCTGAGAGCTCGCCACCGGATCAGAGGAAACGAGATATCGGGGTTTTGAGCTGGACCGTAGGAGAATCCAGCGTTCTCCATCCTCTCCAGATGTCGTCTGCCAGGAAAGGATTCTGTGATCAAATAAGATGGGGACGCGCTGGGCTGAACAAGTGTCTCCACTCTAGGATTCCTGGGAGTCCTTCGTAAGTTAGCACGGCATCGTGCTCCAAAGGGGGACGAGAGTCTGCAGTGTTGCCCAAGTTGCCTCGATCACAGGGCCTGCTTCTCATAGACCTTCTCGAGGGACACTGACATTCCATGGACTCCAATTTCTGGGACCAGCTAATAGAGCCCCAGCTGTGGAGCATCTAACAAAACCCCCGAAACCGAGCAGACATCTTCCCATGTGGTCTGGTTCCCTCCGCCAGACACCAAGGCCTCCCACGTCCGGAATCACAATTCCAGGAAGGTCCTGCCGGAGACCCTCGGCAGCCCTCAAAGTGTGATGGCTGAGGCTGAGGCCAGAGGGTCGCCCCAGAGGCCGAGTGCCGCTGGTGCGAGCCTGGGACTGGCTTTCATTCCCCTTTGTGTCTCTAGGGTGGCCTGCGGGGAGCCGCCTGTAAATGTGGGATACACTGGATGTGGCGGGTCAGGGGAAGACGGTCTGGAGAGCAGCCAGGAGGAGGTGCCCAAGCCAGAGGACGTACAGAGGCTCCCAGGAGGGCAGGGAGAGTGGGAGCGAGGCCTCTGGTGTACGGGGCTGGGATCCGGCAGAGGGCAAGGGAGCAAGGGGCGTCTTCCGGGAAGGAGGGGGGCACAGGGGGAATCAGCGCCTCACCTTGGCTTGCGTGGACTTCCCTTCAGCTGCTCTAGAGCCTCAGCGTACTCATGTCTCAGACAGGGTTCTCTGACCATTTAAGGACCCTCGCAGGTCTGGCAGTGAAAGCCTCTTGCATCTTTTTTGAAAACCAGTGGTTTTTTTTTTTATGTGAAAATCTGTGTTTAGGCATAAAGATGCAACACACAATCAGAAACCACTATTCTATGAACAATGACATGATTACCTCCTCTAAGAACACAGAAATTAAGGTTTTATTGATTGATTGATTTTTGGCGGCGTCGGGTCTTTGTTGCTGCACACGGGCTTTCTCTAGTTGTGGCGAGCGGGGGCCACTCTTCGTTGTGGTGCACAGGCTTCTCATTGCAGTGGCTTCTCTTGTGGCAGAGCACAGGCTCTAGGCGCGTGGGCTTCAGTAGTTGCGGCACGTGGGCTCAGTAGTTGTGGCTTGCGGGCTCTAGAGCACAGGCTCAGTAGTTGTGGCGCACGGGCTTAGTTGCTCTGTGGCATGTGGGATCTTCCCGGACCAGGGCTCGAACCCGTGTCCCCTTCATTGGCAGGTGGATTCTTAACCACTGCCCCAGAAATTAAGTTTTAAAGGAATGCCGTGAGGAGGTAATTCTTTAAAGTCCTCGTCAATTTATTTTGTAACAAAGATGAAATTTATTTGGCTCTGATCACAGTTCTGTCATGTTTACTTTCTTCATCCCAAAGTGTGATGACGGTCCATCCAAGGCAAGCTGGGTGACCTTGGTGTTGCACAGACAAGCATTTTTAATTTCAGTAGTTATGTTTTTGTTTTAACATTTATTCGAAAAAATGTAAACTAGAACCTCAAGTCTATGCCTCCCTGCAGGTCCTTGCTTCGCTAGAGGCTAACGTAGGTGGTGGCCCCAGGGCTCTGGCAAATGCTTGGCTGCGAAAGTTTACAAGGTGGGAGCAGAAATGAGAATTGTGAGCGGGTGACTGCAGTTGTAGATGCCCAGGAAAATTCAGGGATGCCCCCAGGAAAGAATGTCCCCCGACTGCGAGGGAGCTGGTCCCTGGGGCTGGGCAGGCAAGGCTGCGGGATCACAGGCTGAGCATACACTCCAGCCGCCCCGAGTCCCCTCCAGCCGGCACCCAGGGGGGCTGAGCCGCACAGAAGCTCACCTGGTTTTCCAAACAACAGCAATGAACGCATGTTCCCTGAGTCTTCAGAACCCAGGGTCAAGGACTGCATCGCTCCAGCCAAGCCTGATGGTCCCTGGGAGTGACAGATGCCCGAGGACACGTACAAAAGTCTGTGGATGAAAAGAAAACACCAAAAGGGGACAATTTTCTGCCCATCCAGCTGCCTGACGCTGATCGGGCTTCTGTCTCTTTGGATTCCAAACCCTGGATTTCATTCACTGGCCGAGACTGTCTTAATTCGTCCTGCTCCCAGGACACCTGGCAAGACTGTGTTTAAAGTGTAACAGAGAGAAACTTCAGTCGCTCTAAAGAAGTCCCCGTTTGACCCTTTCACACTGCAGTTCGAAGTGATGCAGGCCTCGGCGTGCGCCGTGGCCAGGCTTAAATAATGCGAAACTTTCTGTTTTCCGACTACGGCTCCAACCTGGCTTAGGCAGAGGGCTCTGTCCATTTGTCACACTCCTGCGGGGGTAATAAGAGTCCCTGGGACTTCGTGAGGGCTCCTTATATCAGGCACTATTCTAAGAACTTGACACTAACCCATTTAACCCCGAGAACCAGGGATGGTTATTATTCCCGTTTCACGGATGAGGGGAGTAAGGCCTTACTGAGAGGCTACGGAAATCCAGAGCTGGGCTTTCGAACTCTTGGCCACTCACCGCCCCCACCCCGGGGAAGAGGTTCAGGACCTAAAGCCTTTCTAATCTCAGGCTCAAAAGCACAAAAACAAACACCAGACATGTGGATTTCCACAGTCAGTAATTCTCAGCGTGGATTGAGGTGACCAGAGTTTCCTCTAGAACAATGTGGGAATCGAAGAATCTAGAGGGATCTCCAGGCGCCTGGGTTTGAGAAACGTGGCTTCATGTCTGAGGAAATGCTACCTGGGTATGTAGCCCTAACTCCCAGCCACCTAGTGGGGAGAGGTTGGAGGGGGGAAGGGACTGAGGGACCTTCTGGAACCTTCTGGAACCTTCGTCTTGGGGTCTGGCCCAGGAAAGAGATGGGGTTTGGGGGTTTGCTGGGAAGCCCATTTGACCGGCTGCTTCCAAGCCCCAGGGCGTAACAGGGCTCGTTCTGTGCAGAATTGCTGATGTTGTGCAGTGACCGACCTGCCTTTGTTCCTGGGCCTGTGGCCACACTGTGCACTGCTGTCTGGTTGGCAGGCTCGGGGGTTGTGCGGGTCCGCGTGCAGCATCCTGCCCACCCTGATCCCGTGTGACACTTGGCGACCGGCCATCACTGCTGCTCCTGGCCTGGGAGAAGCCCAGTAGACAAGAGGAAGTGGGCTGGGGGCCTGTCTCCCAGGGCCCCAGGAGCTGGGGGCCGGCCAAGTGGACCCCCTTCCGCAGCCTTGGACAGAGACGTCTCTAGACCTTGGTGGGTAAAGTGGGTCTAACCTGTCTGCCCGCAGGGCTCGGGCTCAGGCCTCTTTTAGCCTCACCCACTTCCCCATGAGCGCCGCCATCTGGGGGCTTGAAAAACGCCTCTGTGCTGGGGATTCCAGCCTTCTGTCTGCACTAAACTCCTGCCCGCCTGACATCCTCACGTGGATTTTATGTGTGTCTCACACTTCACCCCAATCGCCCCACACCAGGCCTGCCCCCTCCTTGGGTGATGCCAACCCCATCCGCCCAGGCACCCAGGCGCCTAGTCCAACGCCCTGGACGCGGTCCCTGGTTTCTTTCTTTCTTTCTTCCACACGTCACATCCAGTCCACCACAAACTGGCACCTAGGTCAGGAGCCTCCTTTCCTGGATTGCTGCTGTGGCGCCTGCCCTTGCTTCCCACTCCGCGGGGCGAGGCCTCACCCTGTGCGTCCCCTGTGGCCCTCTGAGGCCCTGCACACTCAGAGCTCAGACCCCTGACTGGCCTGCTGCACCCCTGGCCTCGTGTCCTACGCTCTGCCCCTCTTCCCTCCAGCCCAGGGCGGGGGGCTCCGACCTCAGGGCCTTTGTCCCTCCACTGGGGGTGCGCTTCCCAGATACCCAAGTAGCTGCTTCCTCGCCTCCAAATTCGTGCTCTAAGTGCCACCTTCACGGGTCACTCTACTCATAACGGCCGTGACGCGTCATCCTCTCCCTCTCGCCTGATTCCTCTTTCTCCGTAACGGTTTCCCTTCGAATAAACCACAGTTGACTTCTTTGCCTTCAGCATCTGTCCGCTTCCTTGGCAGGAGGAGCAGGGATTCTGGCCCGTTCCTGTCGCGCTCCGTCTGGGCACCTCCTGCCTGCTGCCGAGGAGGTGCTGATGCAGTCTGTCACCTGAAAGCCCTGCCTGTCCTGCGCTTTATGGAGAAACGCGCTCTTCAAACACAGGGGACCCTCGTGGTTAAGATGCACAATTTGCAAACTGAAGACCTGCAGGTCTCCGCCCCGGTATTTCCCAGGTCCCCAGGAGGCTCACCTCTCTATTTAGTCCCAGCTTTGCAGCTCTCAGCCATCAAGGGTCGGGGAGGACCGCAAACAGGGCATCTGAGCCGTGACACGGGGACCATCTCCTCTTCTGGCCGGGACCCTAGGGAAGCCTGGAGGCCAGGAGGCATCCCGAGAAGCAGTCAGGTGACACGGCAGCTGGAGGTTTGCCCACCGCGGGCTGGCAGGTGACGGGCTGGGACAGGAAGTTCAGGCAGGCAGGTGGGCAGCACCCTGACACCCTCAGAGCTCAGAGCAGGGGGGACCCCAGTGTCAGGTGTGTATCCCCACTGGACTGTGAGCCCCCGGGGCGGGGGTCCATTTCTCTGCCCAGCGGCTGGCTCGGAAGCTGGCACACGGTGGGCACCGGTCAGATGTGAGCTAGGCGAGCAAGGCGTTTGCCAGCTGGCCCCTGGTGCACTTCCTCGTTTGCAAGTTTCCGGCCCGAGGGTGCATGACTGGAGGGTGTGGATCCCCAGATTTTGCCTCATGGTTGATTTCTTGGGTCCACTGCTCCCTTCGAGGTCAGTCAGCTGTGACTGCTACATACGAGAACATTGCAGAGTGGCTTCATTCCCAGCCACCCCGGGTAATTTGTGGGGTACACCCTGGAATCCAGAAAAACAATGGAGCCCTGCCCGGTCCCCGAAAGAAAGAACTAAAGTGCTGCAAGCAATGTGGAAAAGAGAAAAGGGCTTGGATGCACAGAACAAGCAGAATCGTGTCACACCTGCCCCCGCCGGCCCTTCGGCTCGTGTAGGAGAACAGGATAGAAAGGGCGGCCTGCGCCCATCTCCCTGCACGCATCCCCGGATGGGGAGCCTGCGGGTGCAGCCTCCCCGCTCCCGTGGACACTCCTCTGTTCACAGCTCTCTTGCAGCTCTTCCTCTTCAGATGGTTGGAAGGGGTAGGAGTTAAACTCGCAGGCTTGAAGCTTGAAGCCTGGGACACTTTCCATCAGTGTGCTGGGCACCTCTGCAGGGGACCAAACCTGTGACCTCCTGGTGTCTGTAAACCGGGGCGCCCCAGTCCCTCCCAGCCTTTCAGGTTTCCTTATTCATGCTTCCCAAGCGGCATTCCCCCCCACCCAAAGGAACCCGCACACCAGGAGAGCCGTCCCCCCGAGCCCCCCCAGAGTGGTCACAAATGGCTCCGTTTCTCCTGACAGCTACTTAGCTTGGGCATCATTGGAAAACTCAGCTCCACGGCGAGTAACAAACCTGGAAAGAATGTCGGTCTTCACTGGGATTTCATATGACAGGTTTCTGGCTCTGAACCTGGATAAGATTAACTCTTCGTTCTAAGGAAAAAAAAAAACAAAAAACCAACTAATTCTCCGAAATAGCGGTTTAGTGGGAAAATGTGCAGCTTTGAAAGCATCACGGGCAGTCCGATTTGTACGTCCCTTTTCCAGGGCTGCATATTTTCTGTGTCTGATAATATGTTTGTTACACCTCCTCTTGGCCAGGGACACATACAGTAAATCGTCGTCTCGAACCATGTAATCTCTTAACCATAAGGCTCCAACATCTGCTGACCAGTTGTTGGATGGTGGGATCATTAACATGACTTCTAATTTTACTCTTTGAATTTAACGTAACAAGTTTTAATGAGTGTATGTAACTCATACTTTCCAACTTCAGAGACTCCTGAAAGAGAAACCTATGCTTTTATAACCCGTCCCTGAAGTACACGGTTGTATTTTTAAATCCTATTTCCTCCCCCTCGCCCTGCCCCGTACACAGCTGCATTATACAACAGACCCACTGGACATTATCTCCCTCTCCAGAATCTGCATTCGAATATTTCTCTAGGTTTTGGTGAAGAGCCCCTTTCAACTTCATGCTCGTCAGATGTCAGATACGTCAGATGTCCTATTCTTCATGTGGAGATTAGACTTTCATCCACCTATTCAAAACCAAATTGCAAATTGGCGTCAGAAAGACAACCCTCGAGTCATGTTGGGAGAATTCAGTTTCAAAACTTGCTTTCACCTCATGCCTGTTTTTACTGAAATGAGCTGGGCTTAGGAATGGCTTATTCCTGCCAATCTGGTACAGTGTTGCCCTCTCCCCCTTCCCTGGCTATGCCCTCAATGCCCAGCCTAGAAAGAGACTGATTCTGATTAAATGCCGCTTTGGATTGACCTCTTTTTATTCAGAGTCTTGCCTCCATCAACATATTTGGGGATACTTTTTAGGAACAAACTCCAAGAAGCCAGAGCAGAAACGTTCAACCCAATAACATACGCGACAGAGAAATCATCCCTTGAACCGTTGTTCGCTGTAGCTGTGTTTATCATTAACCAACTCCTGGAGAATTTCAAGAGGAATTCCCAGATGGGTGTGTCTCCTGTTCGGGGTCTTCTACACTGAAAGCAGGATGATGCTTTTAAAGCAAAAGGCCCAGAACTAACCTGATTAGTGTGGCTTATTAACTCCTGCTGGAAGGTCTGCAGATGTTCTACAGACGCCCGTCCCTGTCTGCCAAGTGCATTTTATCTGCCTAGGAGAGCGGGACAGCGACACCGATAATGGATGGCCTGAGTTAACGAGCAAAGTCTCTTTGTTTGTTATGGGAAATTAAGGGGACGGCTTCCCTCTGATTCTCTCACGTTCACCCAAGTTCAGAGGCAGCATCGCACCGCTGCATTTTGTGTGGAGGGCCACATCTCAAGCGGGTGGCGTGGTCTCAAACGCATGAGGCTGTTGAACTTGACCCAAGTCAAGATGAGGTTCCTCTGTCCCTCGGCAGACAGTATTAGGCTCTGCTTCATGCCAGGCGCCTGCCAGGCCCCAGGGACACAGAAGTGAAGCAGAACAAACGCGCTGCTTTCTTGGCACTAACTTTCTAGCATGAGGAGAGAGATGAGAAACCAGTGAATGATTTGACCTCGGCAGTGAAAATTTTCCACCAAAGACCTAAAGAAAGTTTCCTCGATTCTTTGGGGGACTAGGGATTTACTATGTTTCTAGAATTCTTGGGAAAGTTTATCTGTAGAACTTCTTTTGAGAGCTAGGGGTGGTACTGGGTCTGGTGAAGAGGCGGGAGCTGCAGCTGCGGGTTGGGAGAAATCTGGAGGGAATCTAGTCCAAGGACGTCGTCACATAGAGGTAAGGACGCAGGCTGCAGTCAAGGGGGGAGTAGGAGGTGCTGCCACCGCCAGCTTTGGTCCAAACATCTGTAAAGAAGACAGAAGGAGGGAAGAAGATGGGCACAGTGACACGGGAAAGGGGGAAGGGGGAGGCGGGGGGGCGAGGAGGGGGGGGGGCAGGTGGGGACCAACTTGGGAGGGGCCTCGGGCTGTGGAATCAAGTCCTCCCGGAAGGATGGAGCCAGCTCCATCCTTCAGGCTCCGTCAATGGGACGGAGGCTGGCTCCCCTGCAGTGAGTTCCCAGCTGATGTGGGCCATTTCAGTTTGTTCCCTGTCTAAGCTCTTCCCTTTGTCCCCGCCCTGTTATGGGGCAAGTTGCCACCTGAAAAGAGTCCAAAGGAGCATAAACAGTGCAGGGGTTGCCACAGTGCATGTTTCAATGGACTATTATCCAAAGGAATAAAGTAAATGACCTACAGAGCCCAGGCAAAACGAGGCAGCACTTCGATTGCTCCAGTGCCCTACCTTCTGAAAAGTACGAGGAAGCATCCTTGGAACGATTTACCTCTTCGGTTGAGCACGTATTCGATGCAGCTGAGCCGGTGTCTGGCACCTGCTGTGCCACCCTCGTGGCTCGGAGGCTCGGAACCGAGCTGGGCTGGGGGCGCGCGTGCCGCCTGGGCTCTCCCTGCTCTGCCCTCGGGATGGCCCTCGCCAGCCACCCGCCCTGTTCACCTCTCAGGGGTTCAAGCGTGGCTTCCCTGGGCCAGGGCTGGTCCAGCCGCGTCAGCCCCAGCATCCTTGCACGCGCGGTCCCCAAGCTGGAGCGCAGACGCCCGCCAGGCTCCCCGAGCTCTTCCGGGGGGCCGCTGACAGCACGGAGGGGGGGGCACAGGGAGGAAAGAGAAGGCGCAGGGAGGAGGACGTCGCCACGCGGGCAGTCCTCGGGCACTTCAGCCTCGTCCTGTGGGAGTCCATCTCGCTGGCCTGTCCGCAGCCCTCAGCCCCTGGCGCCATCCCCGCGTGGCTGGCATCCCCACCCATTCAGCTCCCCGAAGCGGGACCCTGGGAAGCGGCCCCCAGGCTGCCCCCCGTCCCTCCCCACACCCCGCCTGCCTGCGGCCCCCTAGACCCACCGTCCGCCCTCCAGCCTGGGCCGGCCAGTCTGGAGCCACAAAGGGCTGTGCGCGGGCACTTCACACAGTTAGTTCACTCGTCTCCGCAGGAAGTTGGGGTGGGCGGCTCCGGGGCGGGGTGGGGTGCCTCTGAGGGTGGGAAGCCCACCTGTTTCATCCGGGCTCAGCCCCCAGCACAGGTGCGCGCCCGGGCACGTTGGCCTTGATGGAAGAAGGGAGTGGCCCTACTTCCCTCCCTCGGTCCAGGCCCCCGAGTTCGCGGACTCCCAGGGGCTCTCCCCCCCCTTGACTGTCCATCCTCAACACAGCCGAGGCTCCAGAAGATGAAAAGCCCAGAGACTCTGCGTCTGGAAACCCCCGGGGGTGCCCACTGCCACAGAGACGAGGGCGCGCAGTCCGGCCCGCCAGCCCCAGTGACCCCCGCCAGTGCCCCCCACACCTGCCGGCACCCACGGTCAGCATCACGTCCTCCCTGCACGCCTTCCCTTCTCCAGGCTCCCAGTCTACATCACCTCCCCCAGGAAGCCCTCCTCTGCTGTCCTGCAGCACGCACCCAGTTCCTGAGAGGCCCCTGTGCCCCGCTTCCCTTCCCTCCCGGTTTGGCCCTCCACGGGTTGATTCAGCTGCCAGATGCAGGGCAGAACACGAGGGAGGGTGAGGTTGGAGGGGCAGAGGGAGAGTGCACGTTGCCCTTGAACTTGAGACCTCATTCCTCTGGGCGGGTCAGTGGCCTGGCTGCCCTTCAGAGGCAGCACCCAGCCCCACTGCAGCCCCGCCCCAGCACGAGGCTCCACGATGACAGATTCCGGCTCCACGATGACAGATTCCGGCCCCACGGAAGGGTGCTGGGAAAGATTTCCGGAGCCGCGGTGGCCTTTGAAAAAGCCCGATAAATATTTCAATCAGAGAGATAAAGGACCAGACTGATGGGCCCCGTTCAGGCTGGAGCCGGGCCCGGGGAGCAGAGGCGTCTCAGGCTCACCCCCTGCTCCCTGGTCCCCGCAGCCTGGCCTTGTCTCCAGGCAGAGGCTGTCAGTCCCACCCCGGGGGCCCCCGGAGAATCAGAGACGCCACAGCTGTGGCCACGCTCATAAAAAGAGATTCATAGAATCAGGGCCTCTTCCCCCCGCCCTCCGAACCCCACCCAGGGCCTTCCCACTGGCATCTCCCGCTTTCTCTCTGGTTGGGCAATAAGATGAAGCAACCCTCTCGTCTGCAAGAGGCATGGACACAACAGGGAGCTTGGGCAATGTGGTTACTGGGATGGACATCTGACTCTGTGTCCAGCACGCCTTCCTTGGCGAGCCCTCTCTCCACAGAGCGGGCGGCTCTCTACTCACTGCGACCTGTCCCAGACCCAGAGCGGGCAGGTGACCGCGGCTTGAGTAGGGACAGCACACAGCCCAGACCCGTGGCCAGGCCCCAGGTCCTCCCCTGGACACTCTGCTGGCCGAGCGGAGAGGCTGCTCTGTGCGGCCGTGAGCTCTAAGGCCCGGCCCATGCCAGCCCCACGTGCAGGTCTGTTTGGAGAATAAACCCAGCAAGCCGGAGGGGACCAGCGATGGAGGCTTGGTGACATCATCACTTGGGCATCTGGCGGCAGTTGCGTGAACTTTCTGGCTGGGTTAGCCAACCCTGCCCCCCACCTTCCCCGCTTCCTCGCTGGCATCCTGTCTGGTGCAAACGCTGAGCATCGGGAAGCTCGCTGCAGAGGGACACCGTGGTTTCTGGCCACGGGCAAAGGATGCCAGTCCCTTAAATGATGCCCGAACAGGCAGTTTGGAAGAGGTGTGATAAGGAGTCACCCCTCCTTTGCTTCGAGGGACTCACCGCCGCTGGTGGCACTGATAAGTAACCCAAGGCAGCCTGAGGGGAAGAGAACCCAAGTCTCCAGAGTATCTGCCCCAGGGCTGGGCTTCCCCTTACTGTCCACAAGCCTCTGATTGAAGCGGAATCGGCCCATTCTTCAGAGGGGGACGTGAAGGCATGGGACGGAGAGTCACCCCCTGGTTCACGCTGACACGCTGATGCAGGTTAGGCCAGCATCCAAACCCACGTCTGTCTGGCGCCTGGGCCCGCGGTTTTCCGACGGGCCATTCAGCTTCACAAGGGCAAGGGGAGATGGGCCCTCTCTCTAGAGAGGCTGGGGAAGGCCTCCACAGAGGGCGGCCTCCGACCTCCGCATCATCACGCATCTCCCGGAACTGCAGTGTCACCCTCCGTGGAGACCGGGGCGCCAGGAGGGCCCTGCTCCCAGCCAGCGCTGGAACGTGCCGACAGACACTGCTACACAGGCAGGGTGCAAAAGCGGCTTCTGGAACCATCCTTCCTGCAGCCCAGGAAGAAGGGAAGGCACAGGCTGGGGGCCCCAAGACCTGGAGGAGGGGGTGGAGGCTGGGCTGCCAGGTGGGGGGATGGGATGGGTGTCCCGAGCTGCAACGCACCTCTGCGCCCCAGCACACGTGCATCCAGGTGATCCCTAAAACGATGCAGGAGTGGAGCGAGGGGAGAGGGCTTGTTTGCAGCTTTGACAAATGGCTCTTGAGGGATATGGATTTTCCCACAATAAATTACACACACACACACTCGGATTCCTATCTCCAACGGCCATTGTCCTGGCCGATTGCAGCTCCAGTCTGGGTGCTCACATCTGCCGGGTGCCTTTAACGGGCTCTCAGCCATGTTTTGCAGGCACAGGCCATGGAGCAGGGACACTCAGCTGATTGGCTGCCTGCCCCCATCCCCCCATCCCCCCAGCCCCCTCAAGCCCCCCAGCCCCCCGGTTAGAAATGGCATTTTCCACTGAGGAGCCACGAGCACCAGAGAGAAACTGGAACCCCAGGTAGAGCACAGGGATGCCAGCAGCATCTCCTAGCAGAGACAATGTGGGCTGCTCCTTTGGCAGAAAGGTGCCACCCAGGGTGGGGAGCTGCAGCCCCAGGAAGGTGGCACGGGGCTTCACTGCCTGATTTTTGGTCAGTCTCTCCTGAATGCCAAGCAAAAATAAAAAATAAACAAAGAAGCAAAAATCCACCAGCACCTATAGCCACTAAACATCACTCACCTTTAGAATGCAATTAAGAAAGTTCTGGAGCTTTTCTCTTGGGGTCCATTTAAATACTGCATTGATAGTTATCTGTGACGTCAGTAAAACATCTGGCCTGATGTTCCATATGGGGGCCTGAAAGAAGAGAAGAAGTCCACGTGCTGGAAACGATCTTCAGTCTGTGCTCATCGTTTTCTAAGGGATACCCTCCCCTCGAAGGTCCTTCTTTGGTGATATTTCTGAAATGACCCGGTGGGGTATTTCTACCAGCTCTCACATTTGGTATTAATACCAGTACCAGCCATTCCTATCTGAAATGTCTTTTATAATTATGTCATTACATACCTCATTGACCCAATCGTTAAGCCCACAGACTGATTAAATATTAACAACCGCTTGGTTCTCGTGGTGTCATTAGTTGGAACACAACCTTGTAATCTCAGGTAACATGCGATGGTAATTATCCTTCACATCCACACACAGCTGAAAACGCAGAGCAGTTAAGCCAGATAAGGTTGCCCGGTAAAACGCACTGCTTTAAATCCTGTTTTACCTCCACCGTCTCCAGCAAGGCGCATTTCAGCCCAGCTCAGGGTTTTTCAGCAGGGGCTGGCTGGCGGCTGGCTGGGGAGTGGGGAGGTGCAGGTGTACCAAACAGATCAATCCCCATGGATCCAGCCCTCTCCAGCCATAAATCCGACTGCGCTTCAGAAGTTCTAATGGGATTTTTCCCCGAAGCACTAAGATGGAGATCGGGTTTAGCTCAAGCATCCCTCATTTCAGAAAACAGTGTTCAGTCCGGCAGAGCTCGCCTTGGCTATTCCCTGCAGGCCGAGGAGCTGCAGGAGACTGGGTTCTGGGACCTGGCCTGGACCAGCCCCTCGGGCTTTGAAGGGTCCTTCTGTGCTGGCCTCCTTCCAAACCGGCCTTTTCCTTCAGGCCTTCCTAACCCTTTCCGCTGGAGACCCTCAGCTTCTCCACCCCCTTTCTTCCTCTTCCACACCCTCTGACCCCTTCCATCCAACTCTCCCCCGCCCATGGCGCCCCGAAGAGCCTCTGCCCCATGGCACCCGTGGCTGGCAGGTCAGGAGCTGACTGGGGCGGGCTTAACGAGAGCCTCAGGTGTTGGGTCCACCTAGCTCTCCAGGCTGTGGGGTAGCCTGAGCCGCTTCCCGTTTGGAGGTGCTGCAAACATCCAGTCCAGGAACAAAATCTGCAGAAGCAAAGCCTCCGCACGTGCCTTGGGCAGCCCGGCTGGCCCTCGGGGCCTCTCCCGACTTCCTTTCCCGCATGCCCCAGCCGTGCCCTCCTGGTGGATGGGTAATGGTCTGTGTCCTGCCCCGGGCTGTTGGGTGCTACTGCAGTCTCTGTTCAGACCCCAGTGCACGGCTGGTGGACACTCTGGAATGTTCCTACACCATAGCTCAGACATGGGGGAGGACAGCACGGCCTGTCCAGCTCCAGACCTGTCCAGGCTGGCTCTGCTCAGCGCGGAACACCTGCGGCCACCTCCCTTCTGACCCCACGGTGGTGGTGCTGGAGGCTATCTGGAAGGCGAGCGCCTTGAGAAGGATTGTGACATCAAATGTAACATCCCTCTAAACACAAAGGATGGGCTGCCGTGCTCTGCTTGGCTAATAATGAACCAGCATGAATGAGAAAGCATTAGCTAATTATTGCTCAAATCACATTTAAGAAACTACCACTCTTTGCTGAACTTTGGGGAAATGTATAGAAGGATTTGGGCTCATCTTAAAGATGTACTAATGCATGGGCAGCAGGAGAAAAAAGAAGGGGCAGGTTAAGCAGAGCTGATACCGATGAAGCAACTCCATGGGGTGCAGGCGCTGGATGTCAGAACTGGTGAGGGGCTCAGGGTCCCGCAGGCCTCATCACGATGGCCTGGTGCCCTGGTCCTTGCCTCTGACCCTGTGAACCTAATGTCCCATGGCTTTATAAATTAAGAGTGATAAAAGAGGTTGGCATCTATATTACATGCCAGAGACCTCCTGCTTTAGGTCAGAGAGGAAAATGCAAAAAACATCTTTTTTTTTTTTTTTTTTTTTTTTTCCGGCCGCCTGCAGCTGGTGGGATCTTAATTCCCTGACCAGGGATTGAACCCGCACACTTGGCAGTGAAAGCGCGGAGTCCTAACCACTGGACTGCCAGCGAATTCCCCAATCTCCTTAAAAACAACATTCTTTGCAGCAAATCTGAGGTTTGTATTTAATGCCCAGCAGGGCAGAGCTGTCTAAATCCTCCAAAGCAAAACAGACTGGCAACCATCCTCCCAGGAAGAGAAGGTAGTTTTCTTTTGACAACTCATTTGCTTGACCTTAATTAGCCGCAAGGTTTTCGTTGTTGGTGGTGTTTGTTTATTTAATACCAAAGCCAGGGGAAAAGTCAGATGGAGCAACGTTACCCAACATTCAACTCTCTGGAGGAGAAACTCAAGTCATGAACGTGATTTCTGTCCCTTGTCTGGGGAATTGTTAAAACTAACTTTAAAATTAAGGAGACATGATCGATGGCTCCTGCTTTGCTAATTTCCTACGTGACATCTTATCTAAGGATTTGCCCCTGTAATTAGTCAGCCCCAAGGCAAATTGGGTTGTAAGCCTTTCTCCTCTTCTGACGTTTCAATACAGAAGTTTCATTTTCTGCTCTATGATGTCTCAGCTACCCACCTCTTTATGCCCAGCAAAGCAGCAAACTCTTGTGCCAGCAGCCGGGCTCCTAACCAGGTCCAGCTGCCCCGATGTTTAGTCAGCGCTGTGCCCAGCATCGTGCATTGTGGCTCCTGCCTTTGTGGATTTATCATTTTTCTTCCCTATTATGAGACTGTTCCCAGGGAATGCTTTTTCGAGGCTGGCAGTACGCATGCGGAGCCCTAGAAACCCGACAAGCCTGTCTGAGCCATGACTGAAAAAGTGGTTTGTCTTACGGCCGCAGTGGGGAAGATGCAAGAGTTTAATTGGGTCCGACTTCAGGATTCAGATCATAGTTTTCCCTGGAGGTGTGCGTGGCAGGAAGCAACATTACCAAATCCAGGACCTTTCTAAACGCTGAAATGAATCAAGTTCCAGGATCATTTGTTAATGGGAAAATGTACGAGAGCATTTGAACGTTTAATTACAATATTCTGTAATTGTTAAATCAGCAGTGACATTACAGAATGCTCTCGGTGACCAGATTACATGATGTATTTCTGTGTGAGAAGGCAACGATGCAAAATGATGTCATCGCAGGCACCTTTCCTGCTCCTTCATCTTCCCCCAAAGGGACCAATTCAAATAGATAATTTGACTTGATTGTTTTTAATTACATCGTAAACATTTCAGGAAAAATTCGAGGATGAAGGTGAACACGAATCAGTTGGTAATAAAAATGCAGGCTCCAATTCTTCTTGGATGACAGATGAAATGAGTTTAATACATTCTTGCTCTGTGGAAAATACGGAACATTTAAAACTGCAAACAACTGAATTCAATTAGTAGACCTCGTTCAAAACAGCTTGGAGAACCGGAGGACCAGGAACTCTTATTATCCACCCACTGCAGACGTAGGAAAGCATCATAGTTCACGGCTGATGGGAATTGGTGGGGAAACAATGTAAAACTGGCCCCTGTGTTTTTCCATCCAGCCTGAACCGGCAAGTAGATCCACTAAGAGCTTCAGCTGCTAATGTTTTCCACCCCTCACCTTTCATAAGCCCTTAATTCATCAGAAGGATAGAAAAGTGGACAAAATACTTTCAGTGTTGAAAGATGGACTGCTAACTGCATTGCTTTCAAATGCAAGTAAATCCCAACGGTGAAGTTCAATTCCGAATTTCCCTCCACTAATAAATCACAATCGGCCATTGTCGGTGGGCCGTACTCTGCTCCCCACCTCAGAAGAAACCGGTCCTGGGCTTGCTTTTTGAGTTGGTGATGCTCCCTGCTTCGGAGAAGAGAGCACATGTTTTATAGAAGGGTGGGCCTTGGCCGTGGTGTTCAAGGGTTGTGTTTTTTGTTGCTTAGCCAGGCCATCACTTTCACAGCCCCGGAAACACACAAACAGCGTGCTTCACACATTTAATTGCTTCGACCTGGCTGCAGCGGGAACCCTGTTGGTCACCTGTGCTGTGGACGGTCCTTCCTCCGTTTAATTAGTTGCTCATCAAGTTTCATGAAAGAAACAGCACCTTGAACTTGAGAAGCACAGCTTACTTAGGAAGCCAGAATCTTCCGCGGGTTTCCTCGACCTCCACAGCAGTACGATTCCAATGAAGACATTCATCAGAGTCTCCACATGCCTGCTTTTCATTTACCAGAAGTGGCCCTCTGATGCCCCTAGAGTCAGAGCAGGTGATCCAGTGAGAGGACACCACTCAAATGCCCATCTGGGCATCTATTCTGGAAACCACCCGTCCCCACTTCACTCTGGGAAGGTGCGGGTTGAATGCTTCCTTTGAAGTCTCATTCCTCAGCCCCCTCTCTCTTAATTCAACGTCCTGAAAAAGTGCGTTTTGCGTATGTTCTGTGCCTGTGGTACCTTGTCACTTGCACTTTGTATATATCACTTGATAGCATTGGTTCACAAAACCCAGCGAACTGTGCTTCTTGGGCTTGAAAGGTAGGTTTGACAGTTGAGGATTTTAGCCTTCCTTGGGGAGGTGAGAACTTCTGGACAAAGAATGCTGTCTGCCCTTCCGGTAAACAATGCATGCTGCCCACCCCCACGCTATCAGCTACTGCAGCTGCCCCCTGGTGGGGGGCACTCAGGAGGGTGAAGGTCAGATGCTGGCCCTAGGAAGATGCTACGAAAGGCATCATTTCAATGAGCCCAGACTCTTGCCTCTTCCCATACACAGAAAAGCACTAAAATCACTAACCTCAGATGTCTGTCCTTGGGATTAACAGTCATCTTTTGATGTTGGACTACATTTTTTTTTTTTTTTCAGCAAAACCTCCTATATATCCTCCCTTACCTCTTTGGAACAGTCCCTCAGAGCGATCTCAGAGGCTGATCCCCAGGCTAGAGTCCTCAGTAAGACTCCTGAACTGGCAACTTTCAGGCTGTGCTTTTTTTTTTTCAGTCAACAAACTCACCCAGGAAGACGGGACTCCACTCCACGCCCATCTGCATGAATCCCAAGCCGAGGCGGTAGAAGCGGGCTTTGGGACGGGACGGGAGCAGCTGCTGCCAGGCCCTCGGGGTGTCCGGTTCCCCCCCCCCCGCACTGGGTGGGGGGGCTTGGGAGGCGGGGTGAGGGCGAGCCTGCCAGGGGGCGGACTCCGCTGTTGGCGACCCCCCAGGACGCAGCTGCGGGTGCAGAGGGCCCACCCAGAAGTGATGAAGGCGGGAGCAGAGCCCGCTGGGGGGCTTCTGGGTTGGCTCCCAGCGCCTTACCCCAGGCTTGACTCAAGGGTGGGCGGAAAGGGAGACTAAACAAAGAATAAGTGCTCACTGGGAGAAATGGAGGGCTGCCTCCCAGTTCGGGGCTCCGTAAAAAAGCGTGACCCCGTCTGAGGAGGAAGCAGAGGAAGCCTCCCGCGACCTCCGCGGGAACGGGCCCACCGCGAGTGGCCACGTGGACCACGGGCGCACGGATGGAGAGGCGGGGCCAGCAGAGCAGAGCCTGGGGGGGCGGGGGGAGGCAGCCCCGCCCTGCAGGGGAGAGAGCAGGGCTGGGGGCGGGAGGGGCTCAGCTCCAAGGCCGGGGTCTCAGAGCGGGGGGGGGGGGTCATTTCCACCCGTGTTCCCTGGACGGGACATGTTCAGGATGGCTTGGCTGTAAAACCACGGTTAAATGATAAATATTGGTTTAAAAGGGGGAAATAATACAGCCCATGGGGTACGGGGGGCGATTTTCTACATGCTTCAGATTCCACAGACTTTTCAATGGTTGTTGATCTTATTTTTCTGGTCTTCTAAAAGAACGTCCATTTAAGCCATTTTCTCGAAGATGTCGTTGAATGTGACAAGATATTGGGATAAGCTTGCTGCTGGCTGTACGGGCACCGGTGTCAGGCTGCACTTAGTAGGAAACGGGCAGCTCTCAGCTAGATTGGCTGCAATTTGGACTGTAGGGCTGCCCGCTGTGAAAGGTTTAGTTTTTATTTTTTTGGCCGTGCCATACTGCATGCGGGATCCAAGCCCCCTGACCGGGGATTGAACCCGTGCCCCCTGCACTGGAAGCGTGGCGTCTTAACCACTGGACCGCCGGGGAAGGCCCAGGTGTGAAAGATTTAATGCCAACCTCACAGCGCAGCGAGCCGATTCACTCTACCTGAGACTGATGTGGTCCATACAAATCACATCTTCAGCCACAAGGCGTAGAAAGAGAGCCATTAGGCTGTTTTCCTGAAATTTGGTCAAACACGCTCACTTCAGGAGAAGTAGCTCTTTCATCTTCCCCCTCCATCAGCTTCGCCACCAACTAAGTCGCAGTGGTTTTTTCCCACTAAGTTAAAAGACTATTAATGCCCAAGTATGCTTAAGTCTGGCTGAAACTATTTTAAATTCCTTGTTATAGTAGAAGGCCTTTCGCTATTTCTGAATGGATTACTTGTGACACTGATGGCCCTGCAGCCCCAAACCCTCCGTTATCCTCAGCAGAGAGCAAACCTTGGGTCAAGACAGCATGATTTCCTGCTACTGTCTCAACTCTTGAGCAAATCGCTTCGTTTTGGAGCCCAGAACTTTCCCTTCTGGGATTGTCAACCAGGAGGCCAACTGGTGTCCATTTTGGCAATGGATTTTGTGATGGGGAAATTTTCCCAGTTGTGAGTGGACTGAAATCCCCAGTGAATCCCACCGGACCCAGAAAAGCACGAGTCCTTTGTGAAACTGGCATAAGATTGCCCTCTTCGATAATAAGGGCCCTCAGAGTTAACAAACACCACTGAGGTTATTATTTTCCGTATGAGATGATGAAGATGTTTGAAATAGTGTTTTCAGGGCACTGATGAAAATCAAAGCAAAATGAAAACATCCGATCACGGCCAATTTCCTTCTCTCCTACTGCCTCTTACCATCAATGAAAGAGTCCTATGCTCCCGTCTATGTGCAAACGGAAAAGTACAGCTGGGCAACAGCATCTCCTGGGTAACCCCATGTGACCGGAAGTGTGGAGGATCTTCTCAGACCAGTGGCGCTCTGTGCTGGGCTGGCTTTCCAGCCGGGGGGCCCCAAGTGGGCTAGGGTGTGGGTCTCCACATGAGCTGGGCACTCACGCGTGTGTGTTGATTGGGAAATCTCCCTGGAGGACCCGTGAGTAGTTCTATAAACACTTTTTTGGGCAACTTGGGACAGATTTAAGCTGCTATGAAAAGGGGAACCAGACAGATTTTATTTAAGCCAACACATGAAAATTGCGAGAGAGGGCCCTCCGAGGAATACACACAGGAGAATGTGATTAACTAGGTGTTAACTCTGAGGGCTTTGGGCCAAGCGACAGCTGCGCGACAGACAAGACTTTGTGTTCACGGCAGCACCGGGTATTGGACATGGGAGGGGGTGGGAGTTTGTTCGCATCCATGAGAGACTTGGTCTAATTTCAGCATCACTCCCTGGAGATGGTGGAAGGATACAGATCATTTTGAAGTCTAAGTGGCCCTTTCTTCGGCCACGTTCTACCCTTGTGACCCAGTTATACCGCAGGCCTGGCAAAACGGCAGAACATTTGACAGGACAGCGAGGCCAGGAGGACGAGAAGGAGGGGGTCATACCCACATCCTCAGAAAACCTGGCCCGACGTGGGCTTCTTAGCATAGGCGAGGAGAGGGGGAGAGGGCAGAGGGGAGAGGAAGGCTGTTGGTTCCAGTAGGTTCCAATGCCGTCAGAGTCTGCGTCTTCTTCAGAGGACCAGATTTCTGCTGCACCATTTTATTTGAATTAGGATGAGAAATGAGAGACGATTTCAAACCCAGCCCAAACCCAGAGTCAGTAACTCTGGTCAAGTGAAACTTTGGAAGAACTTTTCAGGGTTGAGCCCGGGCCAGGTGGCGATGCCTCTGGGTTCCTAAGGGACGGCTTCACTCTTTTCCAAAGGGCACTCAGGAGCCCCCCAGGGCATTACTGAGGCACCAAAAGGCCTTCTTAGCGGCCACAGGGCTTCAGAACTTGCCAGCATTAGTCATCCCTTTGGCTTAAGGCCACCCTTCAGAAGGCCTATAAAATGCAAATCTGGGGAGATGTGCGGTGCTCCTTCAGGCCCTGACAGCAGGGACTGGAGGGCCTGGGTTGACAGACAGCCCAGGGAGGCCACAGAGGGACAGGGAGGGTGGCAAGTCTGACGCCTGTAGCAGTCTAGTTCAGATTGGGGCCTCATTGGTGGGTCATGAGATAAATTTAGTGCGAGGGAGCCAGAATTAAAAGAAGAAATTAGAACATTCAAGATGCAAAGTGCATGATTATGTAGACTGTATTATTTTTACGAAATGAAACTTTTGTACCTGTGGGCCGTGGTGCGGTACTGTCAGGCAGCAGGGGCTCGAGCTCAAGGGGTCAGACGACTTCTCCTTCCTTCACAGCGCTGCCGAGGCCTTCCCGAACGACGGCAGCCCGGCTACTGCTTAATCCGATGAAGACATTTTGCAACCCAAAAACAATAAATAAAATGCAGCCAAACATTCCAATAACGCAAAAGTTAAGTGTCCCGCTTTGCCATCTCCTGGTACCCCTTTCCTGAAGCCCCCTTCTGGGAAAACTCCTATGCATATTACAAGCACGCATCGACCCCTTCTCGCCCACCCTTCCTTCCTCCTTTTTCACATGACAGCACACCGTACGTGCTCTGCATCTTGCTTCCTGCACACAGTACAGATTTCAGCACATGAGGTGCAACTTCCATCTCTTCTCCTGCAGCACGGTATTCTGTCCCCTGGAGCACTGAAGCTTCTTTAAACCGGCTCTGACGGGTATTTGAATTTGTGTTCAGTCTTATAAACAATGCTGCACTGAACATCCTCACATATGTGTGGACTGAAAAAACCCCACAACCCTGAAGTTGAGAATTACGTTTTATTTGGTGGACATACTAAGCACTTAGGCCCGGGAGAGAGGCTCTCAGATTGCTTGGAGGGACCGTAAGGGAGAAGCCAGGATATATAGGAGTTTTTGCAAAAAAAACCCCAGGTCGTCAGAACATCGAAAGATGACTGTTAATTAAAGAAAACCAGACATATCAAATTAATGAATTTAGCAATTTTCTGTGTATGGGAAGACGCAAGGGTCTGGGCTCACTGAAATGATTCCTTTGAAATGCACCTTAGCTATCTGGGGCCGGCATCCTGGGTTTCTCCATCCCGAATCCGTTCTGGGTGCACAGTCTGGGGCGGCTGCAGTGGCTGACAGCTTGATGGCTGCAACATCCTTTGTTTTCTGATATGGCAGGTGCCTTTCTTTGTCCACATCTGTCTGTGAACTCGTGCAGTAATATCTATAGGCCAGATTCCTGGAAGTGGAGTTCCTGGGTCAAAACGTCTGTGCATTTTAAAAAGATTTTGATAGAAATTGTCAAATTTGGCTTGTTCCATGGGGGTGGTACCAAACTATTAATCCCATTTTGCTGCCTGGACCCTAGATCCAGGCTCGCCACTACCCTACAGCACCCCACTGGGCCTTTCCTTTCATCATCAAAAAGTTCCTCATGCCGTGTCTTGACATGGCACTGCTGCCCTCGTGCTCGCCCTACCCACCCTTTACTTCAAGAAAGAATAAACACCATTCAAAGGACTTAAGTCTTCTTGGATATTTCAACTTTCCTTAGTTGTAACCATTGTCAAAAAGGCTTGGTTCAATGAATGTCTTAGGAAAAATTTAACTGTGCTTTAATTTGGATGAGACTGGGAAAAGGCAGTGTATTAGTTTCGTAAGAGCACACACTTAGCAATGACTTCCGGAAGTAGCCAGAGCTTAGGGAGGGTCCTGCAGCTCGTATGTTTGAGCCCCTGGATCTCCTCTGTGGCCAAACTTTTGTGGTAAGGTCTGCATGACAACTCAGGCAATAATCAGATCAAGTTCATTGCTGTTTCTGCAAATGCCCTTAGAACACCTGGTGGGCGGTCTCTTTGCAACACCTGACTGGAGATTAAATTCCTACTTAATGACAGAAGGTAAAATCTTTCATTTTTTTGAGTAGCACTTAGTGGCTGATTTATCAAAACATGATCTATTGTGATGCTACTCGCCTGCAATTTTGTTTGTGGAATGTACTGAAAGAGGCAAGTACTGCCATCCTATTACAGGTGAATTCTTTATGGCTAAGCTGACCAAGGCGTGGTGGGCAATTTTGAACATGTGAGCAAGTTGCACTGAAAAAAAAAAAAAAATCCCAAACCTGTTTAGCTTCACATCAAAATCAGAACAAGTGTCATATTTGGTCTCCTTCAGTAGACCCTGGATTTTCTCCTAGGGTTAAGTCAACACATTGAAACATTCTCACACTTCAGAGCACGGAAGATGTGATGTACTACTTAGCTAACATCCTAAACGCAAGTTTAAAATATGCTTTTGCAAAACCACGGTTATAGTTTTATTATGGGGATAACCATGACCATGACCAAATATGAGATACAATAAACATTTCACCTCCAAAAGGAGCATCCCTGGAGAGGTGAATATGGTTCAAATATGTATTGGACCCCAAGTCCAGATAAGCTGCCGACTGCCTGACGTTAGGCAAGTCCATATAAAGTTGAAGGTAAAAATCTGTTAAATCCCAGTTCATCCTTACCAGGGCCCTTTCCTCAGAGCTCGGCACAACGGGGAGATTCTACAAAATGTGTACCTAACAAAACACGTCAGCAGCTTGAATGGAGCAAACTGGTCCAGATCCGAGAATTCCAGTAAATAAATGAAGCTGAGCACTTATTGCCAACGATCATGTCACTGGGGCCACAGAAAACTGGAGCGGGGCAGCTGGGGGGTGGGAAGGAGCGTGGAACCAGGGAAGACAGCGGAATGCACGCAGGTTGGATTATTTATGGCGTGCGATGAAGAGACAACTTTCCATATGAGAGGAACGGTCCAGCTCCAGCAGGAAGAGGTCCAGAGAAAGAGAGAGAAACGAAAGGGGTCATGAATAAAAGCGACAGCTAATGAAACAATACAAATCTAAAATGCTGTAACTTTCATAAATAATTTAGGGCCAAAAGAAAAAGAAAAAAACAAAAAACCCCCTCATTTTTCTGGCTCTGGGACAACTTGCCAAGAAGCAAAAGACATGAAGTGAAATGGACGTGCTGCATTTAAGACCAAATTTGCCTCTGTGCCTTCCTAGCTCTAAGGTGGGGAGCTCCTGAAGCCGGATTTATTCATAGAAAGGGAAAGGGACAATTTTCTTTGTTTTTTGCTCACATATCTATTTTTTCAACAAATATTGTACACTGTTCCTTGTCAGGGGCTGGATCCTCTGGGGCTACGTGCTGAGCAAAGACACAGTCCCTGCCCTCAAAAGGCAGGTCCAGTGTGGGAAACAGACAAGCCCACTGTGAGGTTCAGGACACTAGGGCGGGCGCTGTGACCAGGGCCAGCAGAGGCCGTGGAGGGCAGCCACGGGGGGGGGGGATTCGTGGCCCACAGTGGAACTTGGAACAGAGGTCATCTAGTGAATTTTACCTCCTGTATTGACTAAATAGACACCAAACCTCCATGTGATCCCAATCCCAGTTTATTTAAAAATTAAAATACACTTTTTATGCAAAGATGCAAATGTCTGTGGTTCTCCGTAGAGGTTTTATCCTTGAATTCTGGACGTGAGGCCCACCTGAGCTGTTTTAAGTTACCCTTCTACGGCATCACATACCTCTTCTTGCAAGTCTGCCCAAAGGTATAAAAAATAACAGCCCCCAGTTACTCCGTGGCCCAAGTGTGCCCCACGCTCTATGAATGTGCCCCACGCTCTATGTGAATGGCATCGACCATTCACAACAGATGCTTTGGGGGGTGTGTGTGTGTGTGTCACGGCTCCCATCTTACCGGTGGGAGAACGGGGCCTCGAAAGGTAACTCACGGGCAGTAAGCCTCACAGCACCTCCTTGTACACGTCACTGCCTGTGAGTCACCTACGTAGGCTGGGACGTCTGCGCCCACGGAAGGATTGGCAAGCAAGACCCCCCGGGGAATCAACTTGAGCTGTTCCCGAAGTTCTTTAGCTGAACGATTCCCTTTTATTCTACCTCCCCAGTCGGAGTCCCTTTTCGCAGCATTCCCACTGGAGAAGCGTCGTCGTTAAGGACCAGAAACTCCCTGACCTAGGTGGCACTGGGCTGCTCCTGGAGAAATGCAGGGAGCGTCCTGAGAAGGGGACCCAGGCAGAGCGCTTTGTGAAGAGCCAACTGCATCTCCCCAGCTTTGCTCTTGGCCCATCCTAACCCTCTATTTCTTTCCAGAGGCTACCTGAGCCCTCACTGTCTTGTTCTCACTGCAAGAATATGGGATTAAACATGGGCCACAGGGGAGAGTCCTCGCAACCTTGGGGACTTCGGACTCTCCTTTACGTGCGGGGTGGATGCACTCTGCCCCCCCCACACCTTTGTCTCCAAACGGACCCGCTCCTCTGCCTGAGGACTTCTTGGCCAGTATTTCAGAAATCCTGCTTAGCATCTGAAGACAGAGGGGTCTAAGAAGCACTTCAGAGTTTAAGTCAAGATTCATGGTTTGAACTCAAGTAGTATTCGTGGTAGCGCTCATTTGTTAGTGTCTTCGAGACCACTCTTCCAAAAACAAACTAGATGCTGTGCTGAATGGTAAAGCTGTCCCGTGACTAGCCGAGTTCTAAAAATATTCACACAGTGGAGGTCTGATAGTATCTCTCTGAGACTGGGTGCAGCGTGATCGATTGATGAACCACAGCAGAATCTTTCCGCGATCTCTATCCCTACCTTCTTATTCTCAAATTTATAAAACTATTTGCAAAAAAGCCAAGGATTGAGTTTTCCTTTTTTTGCGCTACTTGAACCAAATTGTACTTATGAACACTTGGTTTTAAAACGAGACATTCAGAAAGATGATTTAAGACCCGCTAGCTCATCAGTTAGAATTTAGGTCTTCCTCCGTTTAGGTAACTTCCTTTAACACAGAAAAATGTTATGACGATGCCCGGGCCCAGCTTCAGGAACAGGGCTGGCCATGTGCACGGCGCTTTCAACCAAAGCCCGGGATCCAAGTGGCTTGAAGTGTTCAGACTCCCGCATTCCGAGAAAACGATTTTGCAGCCAGGATGGCCAGAAACTTCAAATGGCAACATTTCTGATTCGAGGTAATTTCCCAAGAATTTAACAGGCAATCATTTACTCCTGACTTTCAAAGAGGACCCGGGCTTGAAAGGCACAGTTGCATCTAAAATTGATCAGCCAGTGACAGCCCTCTGAAGTTACTGGGGAAGAGGAAAGGCCGCTGAGACACCTGACATCTGGGCTGAACTACCCAGTTCACTCTCCAGGTTGTAAATTTTCTGACTCAAAAGATTTTCTGAAAATAACTTTTTAACAAAAAAGTGGTTTTTCTATTAGCTGAAGTACTAAGAAATGGCTGATGACTTTGACGGGAACACTACAGGTATCAGACTTACAGCATCTAAGCTTCAACGGATGTGCACTTAAGAAAATGAATTAAAAAAAATCAAAGTCCTGAAAACACGGACTTCCAGTTATGACAGATGAGAACCTTATTTAAGGTGCTGCTCTACGGCACATTCAAACAGACTAGAGAATCTGATAAAGGTCAACAATATGCCAGGGCTGAGACAGAAGTGATTTTGTCACCTGGACATTTACCACATTTGTCAACCTACTTAAACAGAAAACATGTGAACAAAAGGACACATACACGCACACAGACAGGAAATAACTCAAACACGTGTTTTTACTAAAAACCGTACTTGAAGAATAGCCTATGATACTCTGCATTTCAATCTGCAAATTTATCTTTTTATTGAATCTGAAATAAAGTCTCAGATACTAACAGGACATAGAATTTTAAAATAAAACTGCATTATGTTAGAAAAATAGGCATCGAGGGCATATGTACATATATGTGTGTGTGTGTGTGTGTGTATATATATATATATTTATTTATTTATTTTGCGGTACGCGGGCCTCTCACTGCTGTGGCCTCTCCCGTTGCGGAGCGCAGGCTCTGGACGCGCAGGCTCAGCGGCCATGGCTCACTGGCCCAGCCGCTCCGCGGCATGTGGGATCCTCCCGGACCGGGGCACGAACCCGCGTCCCCTGCGTCGGCAGGCGGACTCCCAACCACTGCGCCACCAGGGAAGGCCCGTACATATATATTTCATAATAAAATAAAACTGTACAAAGCTCACTGTGCTCATTAGCGCTGATCCTAACCTGCTTGATTTTTGGTATTAAGCACCACCATGGAACAGAGGAAGCGGAGAGAAAACCTCCCCTTACCCCCCGGCTCCCTGTCTCATTTTCCGGTCTCGCTGGAAGGTTCGATGACCCCCTGGCTGGAGAGCGTGCTGAGAACCGTCCAGAGTTTCAGAGGGTCCTCGCACTTGTGGCGCTCTTCCCAATGCAGGAGCAGCTCTTCCTTCCTTCCCAGCGTCTGTGCACAAAGGACGCAGCGAAAGCCAGGCCGGGGCGGGGAGAGGGCAGCGTCGGGGCCGGGACCCTCGGGGCCCTGGGGGTGTCCTCCGGGCTCACTGGGTCCTGGCTGGGCTCCTTCACGTTTCGCAAGTATCTCCACATCATTCTGATGACGGAGGTAGAGTTGCTTTTTCAGTCTGGGGACTGCACAGAGTTCCCCATCCAAGGGACAGTGCTTAAGCTGCTTTCTTCTCTCAGGATGTTTCCAGAAAGGAGCAGCCTGTTGAACCAGTTCTCCCTGAGCTCCCCTGCTTCCTGGGGAGGGTGAGAGCTCCTCTTGCAACTGGCCCTGGATTTCCTCTCCATGAACGTCAAGCAGGTGGAACTTGATTTCAGCAAAAGACTGGGCAGTGATCTGACAGCGGCCACATCTGATCTGGAATTTGACCTCATCAGCCTGGTTTAGAAGGAGGTCTTCTTCCAGGCTGGACTTGGTCTCCCTGGAAAGGGGGGAAAGAGTCTGTATCAGATCTCATGGAAGAATACAAGCGGAACTTCTCCTTACAGCTCCTGGCCTTCGGGGATCTCAGACACACTCACCGAGGAGGGGCCGAAGGAGGGGCAAGCAGAGAGCGCGTGGGAGGCAGAGGCCACGGTGAAGGCCAAGGTCAGTGCTGCCTGGGGCCTCACACTTCCCACGCCCGCAGGTTCCACTTCGGAAGGAGGCTCCCCCGGGAGCCACCTGTTCTTTGGTTACCATGGCAACAGACGTGAGCACCAGGAGAGCGGCAGGAACTCGCTGGGTCCAGCTGAGGCGACTGTCCCCCCGCCCCCCAGGGCCCTCCTTCTCCCTGATCACCCAGTGCAGTCTGGACACCTTAGCTAAAACTCAGCATGGACTCCGTTCAACAATTAAGAAGTGAGGTTTCTTTGGGGAGGCTGCTATGTACCTTAGGAAAAGGGGCAGAAATGCCTACAGAGACACAGAGAAACCCCCAGAAAGGCCGGGAGGAAACAGGACAGGCGTAACTTATTTTTAATGAATATGACAGACCAAGCTGAAACTGAACAGAAAGGATTTAGAACCATTAGGACAACTGGGAACGGTCAGGGGCCGAGGATCTAAAGTGCTGGAAAATGTTTAAGTTTCACGGTGCTGACGAGCATTCCCTTCAGCGCAACCTCCGCCCCATCACCTAGAGCAAGGTGGACGGGCCAGGGCGTTTCCCTGGTTTACTCACAAATCTCAGACCCGCCTGGCAGGCTTTCAGATTACTCAGCTGGCTCGTTTACGGCGCTGGGAAGCAGCGCTGCACAGACAAGCACACGGGAGACAGTAAACCCGGCCTGACGGGGAAACAGGGCAAGTGCTGCGCCTCAGGCCCGCAGCCGGGGGCTGGTCCGTGCAGCAGAGCCGCGCTGAGGCCCCGCCACCTGCCACGCCGTATTCTGGGCTAAATGGTGCTCTTGGGGTACACATTCTGTGGCCAAGAATTTGGAGAACACTACTTCTCGGAAGCACCAGAACTACAGACACTAAGTTACTCTTTCATATTTCAGATGCAAAATTCATCTCTTGCCCAACTGTCCCCAGCGTCCCTCAAAGGGACCTCTGTGTCCTGGCTCATACAAGGCGGAGTCATCAAAAATCACTAATGATCAGAGACCAGAGAGGAATGCGGCCACTCTTCACAGAACAGGGGGAAGAGGTGGCAGCTCCCTTATGAAATCTTAACCTGGGGGAGGGTCTTCCAAACCCACCTTGCTGCATGTGGAATCTGGCCCTGACCTCAAATCCGAAGCATCCCCACACTCACCTGTCCACCGGTCCCTCCATCCCTCGGGCAGTCTGCTCCCTGGTCCTCAGCAAGTCCCCCGGCTGCAGCTGCGGCTCGCAGGGGGAGGGCTCGGTGCTCACGGCCACCCCGTGCACCTCTTTCAGGTGGCCGAAGTAGACTCTGACGTGGCCGAACACCTTCGCGCAGAATTCGCAGCACACGAGCCTCCTGGGCCGGGAGTCGCCGTGATGCAGCCGCACGTGTGCGCTCAGGCTGCCCGGCCGCACGTAGGCTTTGCGGCAGAGCCGGCAGCTGTAGGGCCGGCTGTCGCTGTGCGTGTTGGCGCGCTCGCGGAGGTGCTGCTTGGGCTGGAAGGCGTGCTCGCACACGTGGCATCCGTGCGAAGGCTTCTTGAGGCCGGAGAACCCATTTCTAAAGGCCAAGCCGGGCTTCGGGGAGGGGCCGTCGTCCTGCCTGCAGCCCAGATGCTTGGGGGCGGCGAGGGAGTGATTGAACGACGCGTGCTCCCGGCTGCCGGGCGCCGGGGGCTGTAACGTGGCCGTGGGCGAGGCCAGGGGAGCCAGGGCCGGCAGGACCAGGACAGGTTTGGGCATGATGCTACGGTATTTTTTCACAGCCCCAGGTTTTTGGTCCCTGGATTCCTGGGGATCGGCTTTGGCTCTTTCTTTGCCATCTTTACACTTATTACTGACACATTTCCTCCTTTTACCCTGAAATGTCAGAAGTTCATCCGGGACCTTCCGTTTTCTTCCTCTTCTCTTGGCTGCCCCGCCGTTCGGTTTTGTTTTGTGGTTGAGGTCGGCTTTGGTGGCCGGACAGTAGGCCCTGTCAAAGGGGCTCTGCCTCGACGCCTGTGGGGCAGGTGCCCTGTCGGCCACCTGCGGGGCCGAACAGAAGCCCTCCGGGATGGACGAGGTCTTATCACTGGCTGCCCTGAGCCCAGGGAGAGAAACATCTGCAACGTTCACAGCTGCTCCGCCTTTGTAAACTTGCGACGCCCTCGTTCTTGAGTAGGGCAGGATGGGCAGTTTACCTCTGGGGATGGAAGGGACCACCTGAACCGCGTTTCCAATAACGCCTGGCGACAAATGGGTCGCGGCCCTGGCAGGGTCGACCTGTTCTCTAAGTTCTCCCCTGGCGACAGCAGGCTTCCTGGAGGGCTTCTTGCCTGCAACGCCTGCTCTCCCTGAACTCTTCGGGAGGCCCCGCTCGGCAAAGGGCTCCTCCGGTGTGGACAGCGCTGGGGCAGTGGGAGGGTCCCGACCTCCATGGTCGCTGGTCCCTGGGGGCCCAGGGTCTCCATGGCCACCCCCACTGGTCAGCGAGGCCGGGGCCTGGCCGGGCGCCAGCGCCGGCTTGGGTGGGCTGGGCTTGTGCGGGGCCTCGGGATGCTCAGGCAGGGGAGGGGCCGCTTGGGTTTGGGCGGGAGCTTGGCTACAGCCCCTGTCGGAGGAGCTGAACCCCGGTTTCTTTCTGGCTCCTTTGCTATGTCCTGGGCGTTGGTACCGGGGGATGGGCAGCTTCAGGTTCTTGGGCAGAGGCAGTCTGGGTTTCTGGAGTGGCTGAGCCGAGGCGACGTGTGGCAGAGCGACGAGAGAGAAGGTCCCTTCCTGGCCGGCCACCTGCATCAGCGCGTAATTCTGGGGGGGCAGCCCCAGGGCCTTCGAGCCGAGGGAGGGGCCTGGATGCGCGTGGTCAGAGAGGGAGGGCGCCGGGCCCGGGACCACTCTGGGCGCCAGGACTCGGGGCGCAAGTTTTGGAGCGATGGTTCTAAACTGACTCTTACCCTGCAGACCCTTCCCACCCTGAATCGTTCCAGGAGGGCTGTTTGATTCACCTGCAAGGACAATGCAGCATAAAAAGTCACGCTGGTGTCACATAAGCATCTTACCATTCCCTCTGCCTGGAAGCATCGCTAGACCCAGCCCTGCCCTTGGGGGCAAACCCCGTGTTCCTCAAGACCCAGCCTGAAGGTCAGCTCCTGCCCACCCTCCCAGGACTAATGATTCACCACTTTCCACGTAATTTATCTGTTTATGCGTCTCTACGACTAAACACAGAGCTTCCTGAGAGCTGGGGCTTCCCCCTCCTTGTATTCCACAAGTCCGTCCTCTCCACTGGCCTAATTCCGCCAGGGCGACCCCACCCCTCCCCCCAAGCTCCCGGGCTGCCCACCCTCTGGCATGTTCTGCCTTGTACTCTATTTCTTTCATATAAATGTCTTGCTTTCCCTATTAAGCTCTGTGAGCGTGAAGCCCGCATTGGATCTGCCTTGCTATTTCCCACTGTATCTTTGGTACGAAACAAATGTTTCTTGTATCAAACTTCTTTTTCACTCAATTTCAGGATACACAGTTTGACCCCCTGGCAGCCAATTCGTTCTGCACAGTAGATGAATTCCAGCCTGAATGCTGGCTTGGTGGCTGTTTTCCCGTGTGACTTGTGGATTTCTTCTCATACCTTCCAAACTGTTTATGTGTGCTTTTGCAATTAAATCACCAGTATTAAAAAAGCTGACGTGACACCTTACAAGCATGTTGGAAGAAAAACAAAAAGATACACAGTGATAAGATACAGAGACAACATAAAAAATACATGAATCACACAAAAAGCCCCTTCCAGGACACCAAGAGGAACAACTTTAACTGACAGGCTAACACTTCACATTCCTCAGATTTATTAGGCTGACGGAAGAGCAGTGATTACTGCTCTGAGGAACAATCAAGGAAACAGTTCATGCTTCTCAGGGCTGATTCACCCATTTGATCCCCTGAGGCCTCAAGCTCCTAAGGCCTGGCTGCAGGGGAGCTTCCCATTTCTAAGTACCTCATATTAGTCAAGCTTCACTTCAACGCGTGTTTACCAGGTACCTACACTATTAGACAGTGGATGTGGCAGGCCCGTGAGTCCTCTTCTGAAACCCCTGTGGCCAGATGTATTTTGGAATTTACACTTTCAGATTTTAGGAAAGTAGTAAGATGCTCACGCCAAATGTTACATAACACCCAGCAGAGTCTGCAGAATACCCCTAGTTAAACCTAGTACCACCTCTGTAGTCACACATGAGTATTCACAAGGGGGAAGAACATGAAGGTTTTTAAAGTGTCTTATTTCAGTTCAGGCTTTGCCTCTGAATGAGTTTTGGTACCCAACGTTTGATAACATTTTCTGTTTTCAGAGCCTGTTAGGATTGGGAGTCATAGGAAGAGGACTGAAGAACTATTTCTTTAGGGGCCACCAAGGGTCTAAAGATGAATGGATACAATTTCTGCCTTAGGTAGCTGGCAGTCTGGTAAAGCAGACAAATAAACATTAAAAAAAAAATCAACCTTGATTTTCATGTCTACAGTTAGTGAACCGGCAATTTTAGCAGAAAATTGATGTTTTCAGCAAAAATGACACTCTGCGAGTAAACAAATAAGTAGCACAGTAGGAATAAGGTGGAAATATATACTGACTGGCCAATTTATTTTGGTAGCTTACATTAGAGGAAGAAGGAAGAAGAGTCGTGTTACGGTCTGGGGGAATCAGACAAGAATAATTATGTAATCTGTTGTTTTTCCTTTTTGGCTTTGCTACCATGAAGTTCACGGGTAAACTGACTGGTCGATCACCTCACAACAGTCACCCAAATTGATATGCTACATTTGCTTCATCTTCCTCCATAATTTAATTCATTTTTTACTTCTATTTTCACAGCCTTTAAATTTAAACATCTTTCACGTTAAGCCCCATCTCATCTTTCTGGAAGAAGTACTGACGTAAGTTGTACGTATTGATAAATATACTAAATCAGAACTGGTAAAAGTTTGCAGAGAGCTTAAAATTATTGAAAGCTTTTGGTTGCCTAGGGACAAGGCTTATTAAATAATTCCACTAACAATCACAATGGTCTTTGCATCTACACAACCTATCGGGGATGAGGGAGGGAAAAAAGAAGAAACATTGGGTGATTTCTGTCTAGGCCATACTCCTAAGTGATCAAGCACACAATGTTTATAGCGAGAAGAGCTGGAAGAAAGGCTATGCTGGCCTTAATTAGCCGCAAGTCCTCTTGAAACAGTACGTGACAGTAACGCATCGCAGCACAAGACACGTCACTTGTCTTGCTCAAGTCTGTGCAGTCGGCTCTTCGTCCCCGAGCCAGAGGCCAAGTCCTCGCAGGGGCCTCCAGGGCCTGGCGCCCTCGGCTCCTGGGAGCCCTCTGACCCGCACCGCCTCCAGGCATGCCAACCGCCCCCCCGGGGCTGGTCCTTGCCTGCGCTCTCACCACCCTGACTGCTTCCCTAGGTGACCGCCGGTACCTGCTGCAGCATTCCCTTCAAGTTTTGTTCAAACAGCCTCCTCGTGATGAACTCTTCCCTGAGCGCCTCAGTAACCTGTACCCCATTCTGAGCTCCCTGCCCCGCCTTCCTGTTTTAATTTTCTCCCACACACGTGCTCACGGACTTCATCATGGTCTGCAGCCCCCCCCCCCCCCCCCCCCGGAGTGAAATTCCCCAAGGGGGGGGAGTTTATCTGCCCCTCCAGGGCCTGGAACAGGGTTAGCAATGGGTTCAAAAATCTGACCATTATTTTTTTAGAGGAGAGAAAAAATTGGGGATAAAGTGACCAGTGGCTAAAAAAAAAAAAAAAAAAAACTTAAAAGCAAGCTTGAACAATGCCAAATTACTTTGAAAATTTGCCCACTGCCAGCATAAGGAAATGGGTTTGCACCATGATGTAAAAACAAACAAACAAACGAAAAACCAAACCAAACAACAGCAAAACCTTTTGAGATAAAGGGGAGAGGTGAGGCCAACTGACGAACCACCTGAGGAACTAACAAGAGAGACAGTAAGTGATGCTGTTGGGATGTGAACCCCACAAATAGTGGCAGAAACAAGCAAGCTCTGGAGTAGACGTCGCTTTAAAGAAAACAGACATGCGAGGAGGGAAAAAGACGGGGATTAGAGAGGAGGAACAGCTACAAACAGAAAACTGACTCTCAGAGGCAGAGAATGGTGACGTCAGCACAACGAGGAGCAGAAATAACAAAGAAGAGAAGATGCAGCTGAAGCAACAACCGGTGGTCAAGGTCACGTCAAGGTCCCTGAAGACTTCCACTGGGAAGGGGCTTCCTAGGTTTTATGACCAAGTGTAAGAAAGCAACCTTCTGACAGTTAAGGTTTCCAGCAATGAAACCAACTATCTTTATTGCGCCATTCCAAAGGCGAGGGAGGGAGCTAATTATGATACATGTAAAGTGGATGTGCTTCGGCCTTCCTTGGTGGCCGATGCAGGGGACACGGGTTCGTGCCCCGGTCCGGGAGGATCCCACATGCCGCGGAGCAGCTGGGCCCGTGAGCCATGGCCGCTGAGCCTGCGCGTCCGGAGCCTGTGCTCCGCAACGGGAGAGGCCACAGCAGTGAGAGGCCCGCGTACTGCAAAAAAAAAAAAAGTGGATGTGCTTCAACTGATCTTCAAGAGTTCGTCCATTACAGTGGAAATAAAACCACACACAAAGAGCAATGGCAGTCAAAAGCAAAGGAGGCCGACCATGGTCCAGGAGCACAGGAAGCTCTTTAGGGTGACCAGCTGTCCCGGTAACAGAGAACACTGATCAGCAGGCAGCCTGGTGGCCTGAGCCCACAGGGCCCTGGGAGAGAAGTACGGGGCCCGCCGCACAGAGTCATCCTCAAGTTCCCTGCAATTCAAAGAAGTGGGTGCTGGCGTAGAAGAGCGCATCAACTGGCTTCATGATCACTAACCACAAGCTAGTCACGAGAAATCTGTGGGGTGAAAAGACAAGGCCTTGCACAGTAAACTAACTTGCTCATGCCTGCCCGGATCTGTTGGGGATTACATACAAGGGTGGGGTCTTCACGAAGGTGGTGCTGAGTCCCACCTCCCAGAATCATTAATGATGCAGTGATAGGGAATGAAACGATGCATCAGAAGAAAAGCAAGGCAGGAGAAAGACGGCGAGGCCACAAAAATAGAAGGAAAAAAGAACCCCTAGGAATTACTAAAACGTCCAGCAACAGGGTACTAATACAATACTCATCCAACCATACAACGGAATACTATACCACAGTGGAAAAGAAGAATGAGTTAGACTGATATGGAATACTCTCCGAGATGTGAGGTTTATCGCATGCTATCACTGGGATTTAAAAAAAAAAAAGCAGTGAGAAACACACACAAATCTATTCCTGTATACACACAGAATATCTCTCAAAGGAAACTAAAGAAACTGGTCTTAGTGTGGCCTTCGGGGTGGAGCCACCAGGGGAAGTACAGGTCGGGGTGAGATGAATGTGCATTTCCCACTGAATACTCTCTGGGCCTGGCACACAGGAGGTACTTACTAATATTTTTTGAATGAATAAAAGGAAAATGAAAGTTTCCCTTTTGGATCCGTTTTGCAAAGGGGTATCCGTGGGGATATCTGTGACGGGTAAGTGTGCATCTGTACGTAAATGACTGTGTCCAGATGACACCTTGAGAGCATCTCGGGTTTTTACTTTCCTTGCCTACTTAATGATAAGAATTGCTAATGATAAGGGAAGTAATCGAATCGTCTGACAGGCAGTTTATCAGTACCCCCCAATGTTCAGCCCTGAGAAGCATCAGAGCTTATCCCCGAAGGACAACCGCAGTCCTGAGAACTGTTCCTCCCAACACTGGCTCTTTAAAATAAAACAGGGCAGTCTGCAATAAAGGTGAGTTATTCTATAATAACTACAGGGGTTTTCTTTTTTTTTCTTTTTAAAGAGGTTTGATCAATAGGAGTGTTTAGAGAAACTGCAAATGCCATTAAGTTTTTTAAAACACTGAGATGTCTTAAAACACTGAGATTGTGGGAAGTCTTTCTTGGCCGTGTAGCTGCAACAGTGGTTTATTCCATGACACATTTACAAGGCCTCTCCCAGATGGTGTGATCTAAACCCCGTCACCTGCCACCTACTAACTGACTTAACTCACAGAACTGTGCACTAAATGTTAAGTCGAAATCTCTACTGACATTCATCATTTCTGGAAATCCTGCGGAATTACCCATAACACAGTTAGAGAGACCCACAGGACTCTCAGGCACTAAACATGGACTTTTCTAAACTGAAAACATAAAAGCCTCACTCAGTAAAATTAATTTTTGCACAGTTCTACAATGCAAATACAATGCAAATATGTGGGCTGTTTTTAGTATGTTAAACACATTGAACAGTTATTGTGAAGAGTGACATTTACAGTTGGTGAGAATTTGATCTAACTGTGGATTAAAGGAAAACGAGGAGGTAATGAGTCCTTATTATGGTCTAGAATCTGTGCTGGTCTTTTAATTGAATCCTTATGCAAACTCTGCAAATAAACATTATTGTCCCCTTTTACAGATGAGGCAAAAAGAGGCTTGAGGAAGTTAATTACATGCCAAAATCCACACAACCCAGGTCCGTCCCATTCCAATGCAAAGCAGTGACCTTCCTTCCTCTCCTTCATCCTCCCCTCAAAAGGGGGAAAATTCTTTACAAAATTGCCCTAGTTAGCTCCAAAATATAATTTTTATCTCTGGATTTTAAGGAGAAGAAAAAAAATTTGAAATAGCAATGGCTTGTCATATCTCCAAACTTCAATTACCATCAAATGATTCTTTCCAACAGCCCACTTATTAGAGAACTGACGAAAGGGTAATAGTCACCTGAAGGTAAAAGCAGACATTCAAAGCTGAGTTTCCCACTTCCTATCCACAGGGTTCTGACAAACCCAGAAAGGGGGCCAGGTATCTGTCCGGAGAAAGCACCGTGTGCGTCCCCCTCCATCTCATCCAGAGCCCGGGGCTGGTGCGTGTCGGCTGCCCTGCCAGGCAGCGGATGGAAGCCGAGGGCCCAGTGGCACCGCGCGCCCGCATCTGAGCCAGCCCCATCTGACTGTGCCACAACGTGGCCCCACACACAGTGTTAAGAGACAGGAACACGGGGCAGGCGACTGTCCAAGAGCTGCAAGCAGCTCACTTCCTGATTTCCACCGGCATGAACCAAGGCCTGCAGTGTTGCTTCTGAACAAAGTTCTTCCCACCCGACCCTTGGCTGGTTTGGGCATGGTTGCCCCTCATTCCACCTGTGGGGACCGGAGGGCCCGCGGCTAAGCCAGAGCCGAGAGCAGGTGGAGAAAGGGGGTCCCCCGCTCTTGACGCAGCCCCTGGCTCCAGGCTCAGAGCGAAAGTGTTGCCAAGTCTTGGCCACAAAAGAGCCAAAACTTTTAGGACTTGTTTAGGTTTTAATTTTATTAAACTGAAAAACCCTATGTTCAATTTTATTGGCTGGCATCCCTGTTCTCCCTCCCACTTGGCTTTCCAATAATAAGTTCCAGTTGGGGTTCAAACTGTTTCCCAGGATGGTCTCTGGTTAGAACAAGCATGGTAAAACCCCGGAGAAATCTGAGATGAAAGAAACGTATCAGAACACAAGGGAGCTCAACTTAATTTTGTTGAAAAACCCACAAACGTGTGGAGCCATCGCCCACCCGTTCCCCCGCATGTCCCGGCTCTGCGGCGCCATCTACAGGGCTGTACTGAGTGCTGGCGGGAGAGATGGCACCGTAAAGCGTGCTGGCAACACAGGCACACGGGTGCTTTGTTTCCAAGGACTCGGGATGCCAAGCATCACTCTGGTCCACACATCTACAGCACTCAGCCCGCCTAGAGTCATTCTACTAGGAGCCCAAGTTCAGGAAATCTGACACTGTACAAAGGAAGCAAGCATGTTCCCAAGTTATGTGTCAGGTGCTGTGCAAAATACTTCGCGTGCCTTATGTCCTTTAATCCCCACAACGCGCTGAGTCAGGAATTACTGTTCTGTGCATTTTACAGATGACGATTTTGCAGCCAGCGGGTAACAGGCTGGAACTCAAGCCTTGGCCCGCGTGACTCCAAAGGCTCTTCCCAGGTCTACCTGCTGCCTGGAAGCTATTACGCATGGTGACAGTCACCATCACAGTCTCTAGTGGTAAGATCACGGGTTTGGGGGTTCAGACAGATGTGGGTTCAACTCCTGTCTCTGTCTCGTGGTCTGGGAGAGTCACTCTCTCAGCCTGAATGTTCCCATTTATGAAATGGGCATAATAGTATCTGGTCGCTGTCAGGATTAAATGAAGAAAGTACGCATTAAACGTGCCAGGGTAGTGCTTACCACATATTAGATTCTCGGCAGTTTCCTACCTTCTCTTGCCAAGAAGTACGAAGCTCCTGACATTTATTTTTGGTGGGAGGAAAAAACGCACAAATCTTGACCGTGAATCATACGGCAGCAGCACTGAACCCTTAAAGGGTATTTCTTTTTTGAGAGGTAAATCAAGGAAAGCGGGAAGACATAACTATTACTTGTGAATGATGCTCCCCATAAACCTGTAAAGCACTTCTCTCTGGCCTCTCTCTGACAGCTCACTTATTACATCTGATCCAGCCTATCAGGCTCTCTTTTCCCTGCCCCGCCCCCCAATTTTTGCATCCAGTTGACAAAGTGCTAATCAGATGAACAGTTCTAGTGAATAGGAGTGAACATACGTGCATTGTAAAGAGCTGTTTTCTGGGGACACCCTCCTCTGCTTTTGTTTATATCGAGCATTGATGCTAACTGCTGTTGTTCTCCAGCTTAGCAGGGGACAAAACTCCCCTGGTGGCCCTTCAGGGGATGGGGGTAAGCCCAGGTCTCAGGGGTCCTGGGAGGGACGGGGTCTAGAGTGGGACTAGCGACTCTGGCCACATCTCAAGAGGACGGTGAGAGCAATGGCCACAGGGTTTCTCAATTCGGAAGAGAAAATATGGGGACTCTCAGAGGGTGGGTCAGGGCAACCAGAACTTTGACAGCACTTGTAGATTTCAGTATGCTGCGGTGGTGGTGGGGGATCATTAAGAAGTAAGTTTAAGATAGCTTGTTTATAGAAAGAAAAGTCTAGCATCCAAAGAGCGTCTGTAGCCCATAAAATTGAACAAATTAGACATGTGAATATGTCATGAAGCACGGGGAAACAAGCACTCTTTATGAACAAATTTAAAAGCCAGTTACCTAAAACACTAACGGCAATAAAAGAAAAAAAAATGACACAATGTGGTTTTTGTTAAATTCAAGTAGCTAATTATTCTTTTTGGGTCATATAATTAATGTCCCAAATGAAAATTTAAAAAGCACTACATTTAAAATACATTTTAATAATGCTCAATTTCAGTGAATTTCTCCTTCATTTTAATTAAGCCCCCGTATCAGTCCTCATTTCTGGGAGGAACTATTTTTAATTTCAAGTATTTCTGATGAAAGACAGTTGAAAACTATGATATATTCTCATTTTTAATGCATTGAGAAAGATGAAGTTATTTATCATTTTGGCAAAAAACAAAAACAAAAAAACCCTGTAATGTGAGCAAGATTTTATTCACTATTACACAGCAGTCAACTTGGTATCTTTACCCAAATCTAAGAATGACTGAGTAGCGCCAGAATTTGACTAAGAGCTAATGATCTATTAGGAACGCAAAGCGAGCCAGAGGGATGCTTTGCTAAGCCCATCCTCCCGTTATTCTTTTTGCTGTTAATATTGCTAGGATGGTGAATGTTCAGGTGAGTCACACAGCTGAAACCGAGAAGGCCTTGCTAACTGGACCGCATCAAGGTGAAAGCAGCTAATCACTTCGTTCGACACTCTGACTCCCATAGAACAAATACCTGTGCGCGCTGTCTTTCCAGGAGATGCCGACTTCTTCTGAGTCAGCTGTTTCTCAACAGGACTGGTGAGCCGGGAAACACCTCCTGCAAAAGGGCTTTAGTGAGCTACATAAACGTCTCAGGGCAAGAAGTCTTCCACCACCGAGTTAAAAATGGACCCCTTCTGTTTACACCTTGTATTTCAATATCAGTTGGAACAGTTACATATCTGGGATGATAGCTGGTGAAGAAAACCTTTTCCTTAGTGGGATGAACGGAAAGACAAGGCTTCAACGTCAGAACACGCAGTCAGCTGGAACGACTAAACTAGGACAGTGCAGGAAGCTCTTGCTTTTGGTCAAAATACCATGATTATGAAACTAGAGTGGTAAAGATCACAATGTTTCAACAGCAGGATAGTTAAAAGCAAGGGACTGGAATCACAAAGATATTCTTATTTTTATACCATAATTTCAAAAGTAGATTTGCTGTATATATATAGAACAGACATCTTTAAAGAATGTGCAAACTGCATTTTAAAAAATGAAATAATGGTTCCACTGCTTTATGGTAGAGTTGTACAGATATTTTATCTTCACAACTCACACTGATTTAGGACATTTTTGTTTTTTTCTGGAGGTCTTTCTATACGTCAGCTTTTATGTCAAACAGTTCATGATGTGTAAGTACAAATGTACAGCACCACGTATTTCTTTGTTATGTGGATAATTATTCCCTAAAACTCCTGCTTGCTAAATCTTTACTGTTCCTCATTTCTTCAATCAAGGTACATCTTACCTTAACACAGAGAGACCACCTATGATACTGACACTTGGAAGAAAATAAAGAGAAAGAAAAGGAAGCACCAGGCACTGCAGGCACCAAGGTCCCGGGCTTGTGGTAGTTATTCCCATGGGGCGGACCAGTCTGGACCTCCGTGAGCTAACCCCCATATACTGTACAGATTCTGAGGTACAAAACCACGAAGGCCTCGGAGTGTGAAAGCTGCGGGACCAATCTGGACTCCTTTCCTTTTGAATTCTGCCCGGCTTCTCCTCCGTCAATATCTTTATTGTCCTTTGGATGACAACTACAGACCTGGCTGAAGGAAACATTCACTCTCGTCCACAGGTTAGGAACATGTAAGAGTTAACTCCCCATTTTCTCCAAGGGGATGGAGTGATGACACAGTCCACCTGCGTTCTCTTTTCCTCAAGGCTCTGCACGTACATAGGTATGTGTACTTAGGTAAATACTCCTGGTCCTGGAGTTGGCTTCCTGCCTGATCATCCCTGGATACTCCCGGCATGCCGTGCGTCTTTCCACAGTGCTTACCCCGCCTGGTTCCCCTACTTCCCCCGTGCTTTCCACTCCCACTGCCTGCTGCCTGGTGCTGGAGAAATCCAACCGCTGTGAACACTGGACAACATCATAAATGTCGGGTTTCCAGTCTGAGACTGCAGACTGATTCCATAGTCAGTTTCTTGTCCTAGCAGACTCCCTTCAGTCCCTCACTGGGACCAGCCCAGATTTCTCCCACTGCTCGTCTGAGGCCCCACCCCTCTGCCCCACCCTACCCTTCCCCCATGGCTCTCTCTCTTGTCAGTGATTTTTGGCATTGACCTTGCAATGAACTGAGTATTTGTGCCTTCCCTCCCCACCCCCAAATTCACATATTGAAATGCTAACCTCCAGTGTAATGGTATTAGGAGCTAATCAGGTCACGAGGGTGGAGCCCTCATGAGTGGGATTGGTGCCCTTATAAGAGGGACCCCAGAGACTTCTCTTCCTCTCTCTCTGCTACAGGAGCGTACACTGAGAAGATGGCAGCCTGCCACCCAGAAGAGGGCTCTCACCAGAACCTGACCACGCTGGCGCCTGATCTTGGACTTTCAGCCTCTAAACTTGAGAAATAAATTTCTGTTGTTTGGAAGCCACTGGGTCCATGGTACTTTGTTATAGCAGCTTCAAGTGACTGACACTTCGTGCGGAAGAGAGAGGTCACTGCCCCTGCTTCCTACTTCTAAACTCTCCTCTTTAGTTATACAACACAAATATGGTTACTTTTTCCTGGGGTGGGGGTCAGGAGGGCGAGGCCCTATTGCTCTAAATATACACCATATGCCCCGAGTCCTAAAACACGAAAAGGTAAGAAGATGTGTATCTCAGAATCAGGAAATGGGGTGTCCCCAACACCGTGCTGCACCCACACTTGTCTCCAGGCCCCTCCGCTGCCTCTGGGCTCCTACACCATCAGCGAGCCCTGGCGTTCAGGAGGCCTTCCCGACCATCCCACCTGAAGGCCGTGCTCCGCCCCAGGCGCTCAACTGTTTTCTTTAATTGTCCTTCACAGCACTTATGTTTATAATGAGATTATATCACCTGTCTCCTCCCACTAGAATGTAAGCTCCAAGAAAGCAGGGGCTGGCTTTGTTCACTGCCAGGACCTCGGTCCCTAGTCCCTGTCTGGTACGTGGCCATCATGCAATACGTTATTCACTAAATGAGTGACCTGATAGCTCTCAGCTGTATTGTCTTGCTTTCTCCTGTGCTTTTGCTGGACAAGAAACTATACAAAGAAACCCAACAACCATAAATAATCCTTGGGCTTTCTCTCCTCTTCAAGCTACTGACCTATCTCCTTTCTTTTCTTTGTGAGAAAATTTACCATAGGTAGAGTATATGCTCCCCGTTTCTACTTATTAACTCTATCTTTCCTCATCCTAAACCCTTAAACCCCCTCGTGAAGGACTAAAATGTCCCTCCGTCAAGAGTCAGATTCGGTGCTTAAGCTATGATCTCACTTCATCCTCCACCCGCTCTTGATAGTAACATCTCTGGGCCACGGATGCAGGGACTGAATCTTCCTGGCGAGGTCACAAGCTGGTAGGTGAGAGATGGGTGTGAACCCACTATGGCCCCAAAGCTGCTCTCCTTCCGTTCCAACACACTGAACTTAAGGAAGGGGTTTGGCGATGACTCTGTTTATATTGTCGGTCTCCTCCAGTGGCTGTGAGTGCCACACCATCCATCTCGACTCTGGGAAAATGAAGATCCTTTTGACTAACCTTTTCCAATCAGAGTGTAACCCTCAGGAGAGAGCGCACGCTTCCTTTTCCTAACAGGAGTCTACAGCATGGCTACTGGAGACTTACAGGAAATTTAAGATTTTAAGGAAATTAACACAGAGGGAGTCCCTTCACAGTGCCCTAGTGCTTAAAAGCCAGGCTTCTTCCGTGGTGGCCTTCCTCTTCTTCTTTTTTTAAATTTTTTTAATTGAAATACAGTTCATTTACAATGTTGTGTTAGTTTCAGGTGTACAGCAAAGTGATTCAGTTATATGTATACATGTATATCTATTCTCTTTTAGATTCTTTTCCGTTATAGGTTGTTATAGGTTATTGAGTAGAGTTCCCTGTGCTATACAGTAGGTCCTTGTTGGTTTTATATATAGTAGTGTGTATATTTTAATCCCAAACTCTGTGGCCTTTTACAGAGCTTCTGATGAACAAACCCTCTAGGCTTATGTCAAAATGTAACTTTTTAAAAGCATCAATTACACAATCAATTTAATAACACTTTTAGGTACCGACTTCAAGAGGTTTTTTATGATTAGCAAAAATGAAAGGAAAAAAATCATTACTAAGGTCTTTTATAATTTCAGTTATAAGATAAATTTCCCAGATTTTTTTCAAATCCTATTGCACTTGCTTCCAAAACTGAGGTCAATGAAGAACATTAGGACTGAATGAAAAAGTCTGAAAACGCTGAAAGAATTTCTAAATTCCTCATGTGGTAAGTCCTGCCCCTTTAGTCACCTTGACAGAGCATCTGAGAATTTTCCTTTTTTGGGTGGTGAGGGGGAAGCTCCTCGGGGTAAACAAGACGAGTTGCATTACATGCAAGAAAGAGAGCAGAGGCCTGGCTTTGGTTCTTTCACTTACTACTGGAGTGAGCCTGCACGAGATCATAATCTTTCCTGGCCTTAAGTTTCTCTTTTTACCAAGGGAGGATTAGACTAGAGCACGGTTTCTCAAAGTATGGTCTGCCAACCTGGGGAGGGTCCTCACACTCTCTTTTCATACTCGTAATGAGATGTCACTTGCCTTTTCTACCCTGTTGGCCTCTGCACGTGTTGCATTGATGGAGCAAAGGACGTAATTGGGTAAAAGTGAACTCAGGCAGTGACAGCAAGCTGTCCAAGCAGCCATATCCTTTGCCACCATACTCCCTCAGCAGAACAAAAAAGCAGGATAAAATTTCAGTTTTCTTAAACCTTGATCCTTACGGGCCTTTTAAAAATTCTGTACGATGACACAGTTCATCCCCCCCCAGAGCACTTCTGCTGCTCATTGAGGCATGACGGTGGCCACGAGGAACAGTGCTCATGTGATGGTCTGAAGCTGAACTAGCTGCTCTTCATGGAATAACCATCTTGACTTGAAAGAACATCTGATAGACATATGTTGAGAGAACATATTCAGACCTGGGTACCTAGCAGACATTTTCTCAGAAGTGAATGAACGAGCCTTGTCATTACAAGGCATACATGGCATACATGGCAGTATCCATGGCCAATGATAAAAATCATTCTTTCGAGCAGCATTAGAATTTTGGAAAACTTGAACCCATCACCAGGAGACTGAAGCTTCCCTATACTTAGTGATTTTCCAGGTAAGACTGCTGGTTATTCTAACAAATATGATTTTTAAAATATTGTATGAAATGACATATATAGAAGATCTGCGTAACTCAGTGAACTGTTTTCTAATACACATTGCACGATGGACCTAAATGTAACAGAATACAAGAAGTACACTGACATGGTTTCAAATTTCACATTACAACTAAACTTTAAGCTGTTACCTGACTCGTTTAAACTCAGGTATAGTTATCTGACACATTTTGGTGTAGTAGCAAAGAAAATTATCCACAATTATCTGAAAAGGCTATTAAAATACTCCCTCCCTTTCCAGTTACTGTAAAGCTGGATTTTCTTCAAATACTTCAACATAAACAATATATCACAACATACTGAATGCAGGACCAGATAGGAGACTCCTACCATTTTCAGTGAAGCCAGACTTTAAAGATTTGCAAAAAAC